CAGGGGCTGCACCTGCAGCCGGTAGGTATGTATCCCCAGCAGGCGGGCCCCTGTCGTGCCCTGGCCGCGGGGGCGGCACAGACCTGGACTGTGAGAGGCCTGTGGGGGACAGGCAGGAGATGTGGCAGGGATCAGGGCATGGAGCCACCCACCAGGGCCAAGGGCAACCTACAGGTCCTCCCACGGGGTTCTCCGGGGGCAGCTGCTGCTGCATGCCTCCTGCCCTGGCCTGGGCCTCAGGGGTGCCCTGGGGCAGTTTCTGGGCACAGGGCCAAGCAGGCCACTGCACCTCCATCTATCCGTAGTGGTCATGTGCCTGAGGAGCCCTGGATGTGGGCAAGGCACGGGGCTGCCTTCCCTCTGTCTCTGTAGACCCTGACGCCCAGCGTGTGTGGCTTAGGGAGTGTGAAGAGCCTTCCTCCTCCCCACTTCCTGTCCAGCAGCCCTGCCCAGTGCACCCCTTCTGCAGAGAGAGGTGAGGAAGCCGGGGCCGGAAGTAGGCTGGCTTGGACTCCAGTCTTCCCATTCAGCCCCTTCTCCCCGACACCTCCTGGGACAGTGGGTGGGGCTGGTGGTAGCTCTGTCGATCGGTCTTGGCAAGGAGCCCTGATTGAGCGCCTGCTGTATGCCCTCCATGAAGGGGACTCTTCAGTGCCGAGTCAGCACTAAGGACACGGCGGGAGGGGGGAGGGGAGACTTGAGCCGAAATCCAGGGCATGCCCCCTGCCTGCCAGGTCTGCCCTTGCAGGATGGCGCTGAGCGCCTGTCCCCGAGGTGGCCTGGAGATCTGAGCAGTGGCCCTCGCGTGGGCAGGAAGTACTCCCCTGCCCTTGCCAAAATCACTCCTTTGTTAGCCATGCTGCACCTGCTCTCTGCCGACCATCATTCCGGGCTTGGTCCTGCCCCCAGCAGGCGGGACTGACAGGGCTGGGGGAGGTCCCTGCTGCCTGTGGCTGTGGGAATGAGCTTGAGGACTCAGGTAGGTGCCCCAGCCCGCAGAGTCTGGGGGAGGGGTGTCCTGGGGCCATCCAGGGAGACCCGAAGGACGTGGGCACAGGGCTCAGGGTTCGGTTCCAGAGGGCCTGGGTGCCTCCCGGGGGGGAAGAAGCTGTCAGGGTTGGGCCCAGAAGGGGCCTTGGTGCTGTGTGCGACAGCCCTGCACCACCTGCCCACTCCCACAGTGTGGCCATCTCCTGGGCTCTAGCCTGGGACTCCGGCCCCTCCCTGGACTCCAGGGTTGACGTGGGTCTCAGGCCCAGCAGTTAGTCACTGCAGAGCCAAGGCAGCACACACACATAGCGCCCAGGGCCGTCCCCACTGCCTGAGCTTTCTTCCCCCAAACCAGCACGGATGAATGGGTCCCAGCGACGGAGAGGAAGCAGGATCACCTGCGGCTGGCTTCTCTTGGTCCTGGGCTCCCCTGCCCATGGGAAGTACGCTCGGGAGGGCCTGGTCAGGGCCAAGGCTGGAAGCTGGGAACCACCTCAGCTGGCACTGCTCCCCACCCGGAGGGGGCACACGTCGGCAGGAGGCAGAGCTGAGCCAGCTGGCGCAGGGGCACTGGGGGGCAGGCTGTGGGGCTGTGTGCCCTTCCTGGCAAAGCAGCCTTCACACGCCATGCCCTGTGGATTCTGTGTCCACTGGCAGGGGGCTTGACAGCACACAGGGACCTTGGAGGAATAAGCACACGGAAGGACACAGCAGGGGCAGGGAGCAGCAGCAGGCCCAGCACCCTGGGTGCCCTGTGAACAACAGCCCGGCCACTGCTGTGGCAGGGAGGGGAGGCCCTGGTCCTGGACCCAGGCTCCTGCCCACTGCCTCCTGGAAGGGGCTTGTGGGAATGCCTCGGGAGGAGGTGGGGAGGGTTGCCCAGGTTGTCCTAGCACAGTAGGTGAAGTGTCACTGGGTGGGCGTTTTGGGAAAGGTCTCCCTCAACCCTGCCCAGAGGGAGAGCCTGGCAGCAGGAATGTGGGGCAGGGCAGCACCCTCTGGGAGCTGGGAGGCCATGGAGGGGAATCCCCGGGCCGGGCCGGGCCAGCAGTGAGTGCCCGCCAGCTGTTCCTGTGGTCCTGTGAAGTCAGCAAAGGCAGCCCCAGTCACAGGGCCCCCGGGGGAGGCAGCACCCTGGGTAGCGCTCTGTGTCAGCAAATCCGGTCCCTCCCCTCCCCTTGAAGCCCCCACTGTGGTCCAGCAAGGACCCTGGGGAGGGTGGGGTACTGTACAAGGAGCTCTGAAACCCTCTAGAAGGGAAGAGGAGCCAGGTCAGTGGCCAGGCTATGTCTGCAATGCCACCCTGACCCTCCCCTGCTCGTGTGGACACCATGCCCAAGCAGGGCCACGTTCCGTCTCCCAGAGAGTCTTCCTTCAGTGCCTGCCCGGCCTGGCACAGAAGAACTGAGCATCCATGGCAGGTGGGGTGTCGTCAGGAGAGGCCCTACAGCAAGGTGGTCCTGGCTGGGCAGGACCCAGCTCACCCCTTCACACAGCCCCTGGGGCTCAGCTGGGGCTGGCACCTCTCCAACGTCTTCTCCCTTTGAGACTGTTGTCAGCTCATGCGCTACAGACACAGCAGTGTACAGAGCCCACTGCTCTGGCTGCTTCCCCAGGGCACATGGGCAGGGCTGCCCCCCGTTCTCACATCCTTTCTGCACTCGCAGGTGCATAGGAGTGCATGGTCCCACAGCTGCACGTACACCTGAGCCAGCTCACCCAGTGAGATAAACACTCGCTCCCACCCTAGGCACTGGTTCTGGTGCTGAAGGTGCCCCGGAGGGGTGGGGAACATGCAGCTGTTGGGCAACGTCTGGCTTGAACCACACATCTCCCTGGACAGGAGCAGGGCCCTGGGGGGCTGTGTGCATCTGTCTCCCTGGACAGGGGCAGGGTTCCAGAGGGACCAAGGACAGACAGGGCAGGGCAGCAGCCAGGAGGTGGCAAGCACCAAGAGCCAGAGGGAACTGGACAGATCCAGGGCAGCACCTGCCCAGTGCCGCCAGGCCAGGCCTGGGTGGGGATGCTGGCATGGCAGGGCTGAGCCCCTGGCCTGAAGTCACAGGGGTGCCCTGGCTGGGGCACAGGAGGCCACTGCTTGGAGGCGCTCAGCCATGCCCACCCAAGCAGGCCTTCAAAGGAACCTCCCCCACCCGTACCTGGAGGCTACAGGGGTGAAGGGGAGCAGGGGCCTCCCGTGTGGGGAAGCTGCAGGGGTGAAGGGGAGCGGGGGCCTCCCGTGTGGGGAAGCTGCAGGGGTGAAGGGGAGCGGGGGCCTCCCGTGTGGGGAAGCTGCAGGGGTGAAGGGGAGCGGGGGCCTCCCGTGTGGGGAAGCTGCAGGGGTGAAGGGGAGTGGGGGGCCTCCCGTGTGGGGAAGCTGCAGCCTCTGGCCACCACAGGGGCGCTTGCTTCCACAACAGCTGGGGACAGCAGATTCTGCAGGCAGGATGCCTGGCTCTGGATCCTCTGTGGGGATGGTGGCACAGCCTGGAGAGCCCCCCAACCGTGCACTCGGTTTTGTAAACTGCGTAGGAGAGTGCATGCCTACCTGTTGGTCTACTCCCAAGTGCCTGGGGACAGCGGCATGGGCCAGGCTAAAGCCAGGAGCTCCGTGCAGGCCTCCCAGGTGGCAGGAGCCCAGGGACTTGGGCCACCACCCGCTGCCCCCTAAGGGCTCAGAGCTGGAACTGGGAATCGAACCCTGAACTCAGAAGAGAAACTAGCATGTCAACCTGAGGCCAAATGCCCATGGCCAGAAACACGCCCGTCAGAGGCACAGAGTGGCAGGCTCTCCGTCCACCTGTCCATGTCTACATCCCACGCCAAGCTGCCCAGGGGAGGGGAGGTCCACAAGAGGCAGCCCTCGCAAGGACCCCTCCCTGGGGCAAAGATGAAAGCCAGGGCAATTAGCGCCCCCGCACTTCTTTGTGGAGGCCCGAATGAGGCAGCAAATAGACGCACAGCCCGAGCCGTCCTCACGAACACAGGGGCCTTTGAAAGCACGAGACATTAAAGGCAGGCTCGGGCTAAGAGGCCTCTCCCGCTCTGGCCGCAGATCTGACGCGGGATCAAAACGCAATCGCCCTGGAAGCTGAGACACCAGCTCCCCCAAGCAGCCCGTGTGGCGGTCCCCGCTTTGGGAAGCGGTTGTCAGCATGGAGCCCCCGGGGGTAAGACACAGACCATAAGATGCCAAGATTGCTTTCCAAACCACTCCAGCAGGCCTAGAAAGACCAGTCATTTCTGGCTGGCCAGGTGTGTCTTGGTAAGCACCTGCTCCAGCTCTCTTCAAGTTCTCAGCCCCTGCAGCACAGTGCAGCTTCCTACCCAGCCCCCAGGCATGCAGCACCTTCAGCCGGAAGCCACATGTACACAGCGTGCCTTGGCACGGATATTGGGTGCACCGAGTCGTGAAGCCTGGGGGCTTGTCCGGCGTTTGGGCCCGCAGGGCACAGGGCACAGTCTGAGCGTGATGGCGGACTCAGACCAAGCTGCTCTCCTGAGGGGGTGGTGCCCAGCAAAGCAGGCCTGGGCAAACTCCCTGTGCCCCAGGCCCACGTCCACTCAGCTCTGCCGCACTGGGCAGCCAGGAAGCGAGTATGATCCTACCGGTCAGGACCTGGGCCCTCAGCCCCTCTGGGGGGCTCAGACGGAGCTCCAGGCTCCTGGCCAGCCAGTGTGTCCATCTGGAGTGAGCCAGCAGTGGAGATGCCCTCTGGTTCTCTTTGCCTCCGCTGCCCTAAGCGACCCTTGCTGTCCACTCACTCATTCAACCTTAGGCTCACCTGTGCAACCAGCCAGCCTGGAGGTGGCGGCGCCAGGAAGCCAGGACTTGCCGTACTGCCCTGGTTGCATGCCAATCACCACGGCAGAATGCGCACAGCAGCTCTGAATCCAGAGTGCCCCCCTCCCCGTGGCAGCATTAACCAGCTCACGGGACATGCCCTTGCCAGGAATGCCAGGCCAGGGCGGTGTGCACCTTGGAATGAGACACAAGAAACACGGGCAGGTTCACACAGCTCTGAGTACATTCTTACGGATCAGGCAGCGACTTGCGGCTCACAGCTCCCACCTGGGGACCCCGCCGGCCCTGCCCCGCTACCAGCCGAGTGGCAGGCAGCTCTGCCCCTGCTCGGCCTCCTCGCAGGCCTCGTGCAGTGCCTTCAGCCGCAGCAGCAGCTCCTCCAGGTTCTCCCCGGTGGCTGCCGACAGGGCGATGACCCCCTGGCCCAGGCGAGCCCGCAGCTGGGGCAGGCTGGCTCTGGCCTCTGGGAGATCAAGCTTATTGGCAACGATAGCGTGGGGCCGCTGGGACAGGCCCTCCTGGTACATCTCCAGTTCGTGCTTCAAATGCCCGACCTGAGTCCACGGCTCTGGCAGGGAGAGGTCCACCACCAAGAGGAGGAAGCGGCAGCGCTCGATGTGCCGGAGGAAGGCGAGCCCCAGGCCACGGTTCTGGTGGGCGCCACGTACGATGCCAGGGACGTCAGCCACTGTGGACAGAACACACGGGTCATGGCCGGTGGGGTGCTGGGCAGCACAGCGCGTGGGGGCCGAGGGCGTGGGTAACGGCAGGTGGGGTGCTGGGCAGCACAGCGCATGGGGGCCCGAGGGCGTGGGTCACGGGGTACCACAGCGCGTGGGGGCCGAGGGCATGAGTCACAGCAGGTGGGGTGCTGGATACCACAGCGCGCAGGGGGCCGAGGGCGTGGGTCACGGCAGGTGGGGTGCTGGGTACCACAGAGCGTGGGGGCCAAGGGCACAGGTCACAGGGTACCACAGCGCGTGTGGGGCCAAGGGTGTGGGTCCTGGCAGATGGGGTGCTGGGTCAAGGGTGTGGGAATGACTGCTACACTTGGGGCATTGAGGACAGCACCTGACTGCACCCGGGAGGCCACAGTGGCCAGCCCTGCCAGGAGTCGCTCAGGATGAGGCTGCTGTGTTCACTGCCATGAGACTCCTGGGGATGGACAGTGGGCTGAGTCGCATACAAGATGGCATGCCACTCGAGTGCCAGGTGTGGGCACCCATCAGCCCAACCCAGGCCCTTTCCCATGCTCCCGTCGTGTGGTTCCACAAAGGCCTTGGGGAAACGGCTTCCTGTACTCTGAATAATTTCATCCGATAGAAATGACGGCAGAGCACTTTGCAAACATCAAGTGCCATGCTCCGAACCTCACCAGCAGGCGTACTATTTTTAATGGGAACACCATCTTCCAGAAAAAGTTTTCTTTTCTGAAAATGGTACAGGGGAAGCTTTTGAAATCACATGCTGTCTGCGTGAGTGACGCTGCCGATCCCGATCCCCAGACGACAGGGAAGAACAAAGCAGCCTCAAGCAGCGACTCCTGCCTGGGGCTTCTCTGCCGGAGCCAGCACAGCGGAGCCCAGGCGGCGTGTTCTGACCCTCCCTGCAGCTGGGCCAAGGAGGAGTCACCTTGGGGCCCCTCGGTCACCTATACCCCTAACCCCTGACCATGGGCAGAGTGGGGCAGTGCTACCTGCTATTTGTCGGTGGCCTTCGTAGTGGACAATCCCGATGTGGGGACTTAAGGTGGTGAACGGGTAGGCGGCCACAGCGGGTCTTGCATTCGAAATGGCTCGGAGGAGCGAGGACTTTCCGGCATTGGGGAACCCAACCTGGAAGAAGATGTGAGGATGGCTTTGGGTTCAGCGTGGGGGCACCACACCCAGGGAATGCCACACTGCAGGGCTCACTGTACCAAGCACAGGGCGGGGTCGGGCCAGGTGAAGGGGCACCAATGGGGCAAGGGGTAATCTCCAGGCCCGCACCCCTGTGTGTGGTACCCACCATCCCAGCGTGGGCCATGGTCTTGAGCTCCAGGTGGAGAAGCCGCTCCTGGCCGGGCTGGCCGGGCGTGCAGGTCACAGGCGCGCGGTTGTTGTTGGCCAGGAAGAAGCGGTTGCCTTTGCCTCCAGCGCCCCCCCGGGCGGCGATGTACTCCTCGCCAGGGCGACACAGGTCGGCCACAACTTTACCTCCTTCCTTCACCAGTGTGCCCACAGGGACCTGGAGATGGCACAGGGTTCTGGGATGACAACCTACCAACAGCAGGCGGCCCTCCTTAAGGCGTTTCGCGGAGTTGAGGCAGGGCCCAGGCCCAGGGGTAGACAGCATTCAGCATCCTCACAAAGTGCTGGATGATGCCGTGCCGTCACGGGCTTCCCCGGGGTGGTCACCCCCCACCCCGTGCCCACCGCACAAAGGCTGCTCTGGATCACTCCTGAAACACGGGGGCAAACTGGCACTTCTGGACCAACAGCTGACCCAGGAGACCGGCTGTGGCAGGCGAACGTGGTGCCCACAACACCACAGAAGCCCACAGGGTGTAGCTGTGGACGTCCTCGGCCACTCGTCCGTGTCGCGTGCGTTGTGACTCCAGCAACCACACGTGTGGCCCGGCACCATCAGCTTTGTGGGGACAGACCTGTCCTCTGCTCGCCAGCTGCCTCCCTTCTCACCCCAAAGCCACAGGCCCTGCAGCCTCCTGCACCCACAGCTTACCCGGACATAGAGGGCGGCGCCCCCTCGCCCAGAGCAGTTCTTCCGGCCGCCATCTTGTCCGCTGGAGCCCTGGTACTGCGACAGCACCGACGACAGGGACGTGACCTGCTGGTCGACTGGGGTAAGACAAGGGCCAGGCTTCTGTATGTGCAGACAGAACTGCCGCCATGGTCAGTGCTCCTCTGTCCACGCGGCCAACACTGAGTGTGCGTGGAAATGGAACGCAGCTGTCAAAGGGACAATGGGATATGCAAATGGGCAATGTCTTGGTTTTCCTCTAAAGCCCAGAATCACAGCGCCACCACCACCACCACAGTGCTGCGACTACTCCGGCGTGCTGACGTCCCGCTGGCCGACCGAGCCCCGTCAGCTCTGCCTGGGACTGCATGGGAGGCCTGTGCGGCCCTCCGACGGGCAGCTCCTGGGCTCCTCAGCTCTCAGGTACAGACTTGGACGTCCACATACCCGGACTACAATCTAGAGACCTGGGACCGGCTGCCCTGCCTTGCCGAGGCCCCACTGCCCTCAGCTCCCAGACACGTGCCTTTCAGGATGACAGGGCCACCGTGGCCCCCATCTCCACCGTCAGGGCCTCCAAACTCCTTGCGGGGCTCACTGTGGAAACAGCTCGCACCGGCACCTCCACTTCCTCCTCGGACAAGCACTCTCCGATGGTCCACAGCGTGTCTTTTCTGCAAACACCACGATGCTCACATCAGATCCCACCTCCCACACCAGCACCCACATCCTGCACGGGCTCCCGATCATCGGCAATTCTCCAACACCCTCCTGAGACACCGAGTGTCCAGTGGAAATGCACCTGCTTGGGCAGCCAGATGGTCGTGATACCAACACCGCTCCCCTTTCCCAAAACCCACAGCCTTGGCAGGACAAACACAGGGCTGGTGGGCTAAAGGCCCCAGGCGACTGAGACCCTGGCCGCAGGCTGCAGTGTGCACCAGCCCCAGCCACTGTATGTGAGAAGTCAACCAGTGGATGGAAGGAACCCTGCCTCTCAGAAAACAAGGAAAAGCTGTTGATCAAGCAATATCCTCCTGGCTGGGTGCTGTGGCTCAGCGGGCCAATCTTCAACCTGCATGTGCTGACATCTCATATGGGCACCAGATCATGTCCCAGCTGCCCCACTTCCCATTCAGCTACCTTTCTATGGCCTGGGAAAGCAGTTCAGGATGGCCCAAAGCCTTCCCATGAAGGAAGCTCCTCGCTCCGGATAGGCTCAGCTCTGCTCCAGCCATTGTGGCCATCAGGGACTGAACCAGTGAATGGGGGTCTCTGTCTCTCCTATCTGTAAATCTGTTTTTCCAATAAAAATAAACACTTCCCATCCAGCTCCCTGCTTGCGCCCGGGAAAGCAGCAGAGGACGGCCCAGCGCCTCGGGACCCTGCACGCGTGTGGGGGACCCGGAAGAGCTCCTGGCTTCAAATTGGCTCAGCTCCGGCCACTGTGGTCACTTGGGGAGTGAATCATCGGACGGAAGATCTTCCTCTCTGTCTCTCCTCCTCTCTGTATATCTGACTTTCCAATAGAAATAAACCATTAAAAAATGTATTTTTAAAAGAGCAAATACTGCTTAAATATATCATTTCTGAAGTCACAGGTCTTTACTGATGGCAAGTTCCAGTTCCCAAGACACACAGCAGGACGGGAAGGGGCGGCCAGGGCGCTCTGGGCCTGACTGTAACAGAGTTCACACCTCACAGCTGTTGGCTCCCCACCCCCGCAGGCCGCCCAGTGGTCTAGGCCCAGGCGGAGCCCACGCCACAGGCATCTCTGTCCAGTGCTCACAGCGGCGTGGGGACCACACGGAAACCCAGGAATTACTGTTTAAAAGACTCAGTGTGCGATTTTGCACATGGGAGATACGAGCTGGCCTCGAGGGACGATGAGCTGGGCCTGCTGCCCTGAACGGCAATGGCAAGGATGGCACAGGGCAGAATGAACTCAGCATTGGTCAGGGCACCAGGGCATGTGAGGCCAGTCATGTGGGGCACCCCTCCGGGCCTGGGGCAGGCTCAGTGTGAGGCCTCCTGACAGTGTCGGGACACAGGTACACTCGGCGAGCCCAGAGGAACTGTGAGGGGCCATCCCCGCCCAGGGGTCTCACCAGCTTTTTCTCAGACAGCAGCTTCTTCCTGGGGGGCTCCTGGTGCCGGGCCTGGTCCATGCGGCTGAGGGAAAGCGGCCTGGCAGACATGCGCTGTGGAGGGAGTCGCTGGGATGCAGCCCAGCACCCCAGGCTGTCCAACAGGGTCTGAGATCTCACGGAGAAAAGCCCCAGACGTGCCATGGCCCCTAAGCAAAGTCAAAGGGTCCGGTGAATGTCAGGCTTCAAGCCTGCAATGCGGGGCTGAAGCTGAGCACGCCTGGCCCATGAGGCTCAGGGCAGGGCTGAGCTCAGTCGTGAACGTCACGGGCATGGCGGACTGCGCCCACCCACAGCAGACATCAGCAATCTGAACCTGAGGTTGAAACGTAATGTCCTCTTGCTCGCACCTGCAGATGCCAGGGCGGGAGCGGACGCAATGCACTCGCTCCTTCTCTGCCTCCATCCCGACACCGTGTAATTTCCTGAGCCAGGATCGCGATAAGGCGCATCCATCTCCCAGCACCTCCTGAGTGACAGCCATCTCCGTCCCGCTGAAGGCCTCAGGCCAAGAGCCAAGTCATGACCAGGGATTGGACGTGAGCCCTGTACTCAACCACAGCGTCCTTAGGGTGCTATGGTGAAGCTGGGCACTCGGGCACAGCGAGCAGTGCATGGAGGACCGCTCTGGCCCCCCCTCCCTCCTCACTGCCTCTAAGAAATGGACCACTGCAGTGTCCTCCACATCCAGCAGTAGCTCCAGCACGTGAGCTCATCCAGGTCACAGCTGTGGGAGGGCTGATGGGCGGCCAGGTCCAGACCTGCAACATGTAACTGGCTTGGGGTGGGGGGCAGGCTTCCATGCCTGCAGGCAGGTGGAGGCAGACCAAGCTGAGAGACAGGGCACCCTCAAGGTTCCTGGGGACAGACATATGGCCCGAGTCCACAGGGACATGTCACCCACATGGCTGCCCCTCCAGGGCACAGTTGGTGGCCGCATGTGCCTGGCAGGGACCGAGGGTCAAGCAAGCATGCTGCCCTGGTGCCATGCGTCCCATATCCAAAGAAAGCCCAAGGCACCCTGTGTGACACGTGTGGCACCTACCCATGTGGGCACTTTCCAAGGCCCACCCCGTGGGGGGCACTGCAGAAGCCGCCTGCCCCTCACAAGCCCCCGTGGGTGCCCCACTTCCCACTTTCACGGCTGCCAAGAAAGGAAGCGCTTTCCCCAGGGTGGCCGCCCAGGCCCACGGCTTAGCTTTGAATTCTGAAGCATCCCAGTTTCAGAAACCTTGGGACAAGAGAACAAAACACTCGGGAACCCTCTGAGCGTCGCCGGCAGCCTGACCCCTCCCCCACCTGCCCCAGAACTGTTCCGTTTGTGCTGCCCAGAGCCGGGCACGTGCCACAGCTGGAGGCAGTACCAAAACCAAGCCTCGCACAGTGAGCCAGGCCGGGCTGACACACAGGAGCGTGCCACAGAAGGGCCGGGGGAGCGGGAGACCCCGGCAAGGCTAGGTTGCCACACTTCTAGTAGAAGTACAACAGTAACTCCCATACGAACACCGGTTCGAATCCCAGCTGTTCCACTTCCCATCCGGCTCCCCCCTGCCTGTGGCCTGGGAAAGCAGAGAAGGGTGGCCCAAAGCCCTGGGACCCTGCACCTGCATGAGAGACTCAGAAGCTCCTGGCTTCAAATCAGCCAAGGTCCAGCCTTTGTGGTCACCTAGGGAATGAACTACTAGATGGAAGATAGCTCTCCCTGTCCCTTTTTCTCTCTCTTCTCTGCTTTTTCAATAAAAATAAATAAAGCTCTTTAAACAGTCATTGGAAAGGCAGAGTGACACGGTGGACTGAACATTCTGATGGAGAGGACACGCGTGTATGCAGGAACAACAGCTCCCAGAGACCGTGGCAGTCACGGGGCAGGGCTCTGGTCTCCTTCCAGGGAGTGCAGCGTGAGACCTGAGGTCAAGGTCCTGCCATCCACGCGAGATGGCCGTCTGGGTTTCCCACGCTGAACTCTGAACTGGGCTCAGTCACTGGGGGCATGTGGGAAGTGGACCAGCAGGTGGAGAGCCCCTCCAAAACTGCGCCCCCAAACTAAATAAACACCTCAAGAAAACAAAGCCTGAGACACAGCCTCCCCGAGCGACATTACAGAGCCCCACACCCCGCAGCCACGGGACAGTCACACTTCCAAGAACACACAGTGTTACGCAGGGAAGCCTGCATAAACTTCAGCAGACAGAAAATTCAAATGGATTCTCCAACTATAACGGAATTAAATTGGAACTAAACTGTTACAGAATCTCCCAGAAGCCCTCATGTATATGAAAATTTAAAAACCTCTGAGTCATCTATTATTCAAAGAAATCAAGGGCCTGGCACTGTGGTGCTGTGGGCTCAGCTGCCACCAGCGGCGCCAACACCGGTTGGAGTCCTGACTGCTCCGCTTCTGGTCCAGCCCCTGCCAAGGTGCCTGGGGGAGCAGTGGAGGACGGCCGGGAAAGGGAACAAGAGAAAGCAGAACCAGCTGACTTGCAGAAGGTGCCAGATTTGTAGGAAACCCACAGGGCAAACTCTGTATGAGAACCAGAACTACCAAATGCACTGAGCAGGCTGCTGACTGCAGGGAACTGTTCATCCCTGCCACGCCCAGGGAAGGCAGCATTAGCTGGCTGCACCCACAGCCAGAGCACCATCACAGGACACCAACCAGACAGCCGCAGGCCGCCGTGCGACTCAGGGACTGCCTTCTTTTCAAGGTGCTTCCTACTGTGGGCAAGGCAGAATTAGAAGAGAGACAGAGGCAACTTCCATCTGTTGGTTTACCTCTAACCGGCCACACCAGAGCTGGGTCAGCGTGTACCGGGAGCCGGAACTTCCTCTGGGTTTCCCACATGGGTCAGGGGCCCGAGAACATGGACCATCCTCCCCCCGCTGCTTTGCAGGCCATCAGCAGAGACTTGTGCTGAAAGTGGAGCAGCCGGGACTCAAATTGGTGCCCAAACGGGATGCCAAGGCTACAGCTGGAGCACTAGCCTGGGGTGATGCTGTGCCAGTCCCTGAGGGCACTGCCAGGGATAAACTCACTTGTCCTCACCTCACACTCTCCAAAAATGGGGCGGGGCTCAACAGAGACCACAGACCTGGAGGGAAAGGGGTGGGCCCAGGGTGCCATGGAGGAGGAGGAAGGCCCAGGGTGACATGGAGGAGGAGGAGGAAGGCCCAGGGTGACATGGAGGAGGAGGTAGGGCCTAGGGTGACATGGAAGAGGAGGAAGGCCCAGGGTGACATGGAGGAGGAGGAAGGCCCAGGGTGACATGGAGGAGGAGGAAGGCCCAGGGTGACACGAGGAGGAGGAGGAAGGGCCAGGGTGACATGGAGGAGGAGGAAGGGCCAGGGTGACATGGAGGAGGAGGAAGGGCCAGGGTGACATGGAGGAGGAGGAGGAGGAAGGCCCAGGGTGACATGGAGGAGGAAGAGGAAGGCCCAGGGTGCCATGGAGGAGGAGGAGGAGGAAGGCCCAGGGTGACACGAGGAGGAGGAAGGGCCTAGGGTGACATGGAGGAGGAGGAAGGCCCAGGGTGACATGGAGGAGGAGGAAGGGCCAGGGTGACATGGAGGAGGAGGAGGAAGGGCCAGGGTGACACGAGGAGGAGGTAGGGCCTAGGGTGACATGGAGGAGGAGGAGGAAGGCCCAGGGTGACATGGAGGAGGAGGAGTAAGGCCCAGGGTGACATGGAGGAGGAGGAAGGGCCCAGGGTGACATGGAGGAGGAGGAAGGCCCAGGGTGACATGGAGGAGGAAGAGGAAGGGCCAGGGTGCCATGGAGGAGGAGGAGGAGGAAGGCCCAGGGTGACATGGAAGAGGAGGAGGAAGGCCCAGGATGACATGGAGGAGGAGGAGGAAGGCACAGGGTGACATGGAGGAGGAGGAGGAAGGCCCAGGGTGACATGGAGGAGGAGGAGGAGGAAGGCCCAGGGTGACACGAGGAGGAGGAAGGGCCAGGGTGACACGAGGAGGAGGTAGGGCCTAGGGTGACATGGAGGAGGAGGAGGAAGGCCCAGGGTGACATGGAAGAGGAGGAGGAAGGCCCAGGGTGACATGGAGGAGGAGGAGGAAGGCACAGGGTGACATGGAGGAGGAGGAGGAAGGCCCAGGATGACATGGAGGAGGAGGAAGGGCCAGGGTGACATGGAGGAGGAGGTAGGGCCTAGGGTGACACGAGGAGGAGGAGGAAGGCACAGGGTGACATGGAGGAGGAGGAGGAAGGCCCAGGATGACATGGAGGAGGAGGAGGAAGGCCCAGGGTGACATGGAGGAGGAGGAAGGCACAGGGTGACATGGAGGAGGAGGAGGAAGGCCCAGGGTGACATGGAGGAGGAGGAGGAAGGCACAGGGTGACATGGAGGAGGAGGAGGAAGGCACAGGGTGACATGGAGGAGGAGGAGGAAGGCACAGGGTGACATGGAGGAGGAGGAGGAGGAGGAAGGCACAGGGTGACATGGAGGAGGAGGAGGAAGGGCCAGGGTGACATGGAGGAGGAGGAGGAAGGGCCAGGATGTCACAGGGCAGGGGCAGCTCTGCACCGCTAATCCATAAGAGAATACCTCGCTGAAGCTCAGCTCCAGTCAGAGTTGGTGCTGCCTCCTGGGCAGGGAGGCCCACACATGCAGCGTTTCCATCAGCATGAATACTCTCCTGGCCATTGTACGCATGAGTCCAGGGGCTGACACCACAGCCTCCTGGAAGCATCCAATGACCAGGCCCAGCTTAGCACAGGACCAAATCACGCTGGGACCTGGACTCGGAGCCGCAGGGCCCAGTGGCAGGCACTGAGCCCAGCCGGCTCCTGGGTTGCAGTCCCAAGACAGAACCAGTGCCTAGGTCCCGGCCTCTCCATGCCCATGGGCACTGGGCAGACCAAAGGTCCTTGCCGCTCTGCCTTCCAAAACTCCAGAGGGAAAAACTCTCAAAGACAGCCACCAGAGGCATGAATTCTGTCAATGGAAGAGTGTCACCCGTGCCAAGAAGCTGTTCCCAAGTCACCAATGGGACCCAACACTGGGGCGCGGCCCTGCAGCAGGCATGAGGACTGGGCCGGTCCCCACCCCAGGGTGTCTAAATCCCCCCCAGGCTGACCTCACGTGTCCAGGGTGTCTGACTCCCCCAGCTGACCTTGCGTGTCCAGGGGCGTCTGACCCCCCAGGTGATCCCGTGTGTCCAGGGGCGTCTGACCCCCCCCAGGTGACCCCGTGTGTCCAGGGGCGTCTGACCCCCCCAGGTGACCCCGTGTGTCCAGGGGCGTCTGACCCCCCAGGTAATCCCGTGTGTCCAGGGGCGTCTGACCCCCCAGGTGACCCCGTGTGTTCAGGGGCGTCTGACTCCCCCCAGGTGACCCCGTGTGTCCAGGGGCGTCTGACCCCCCCAGGTGACCCCGTGTGTCCAGGGGCGTCTGACCCCCCCAGGTGACCCCGTGTGTTCAGGGGCGTCTGACTCCCCCCAGGTGACCCTGTGTGTCCAGGGGCATCTGACCCCCCCCAGGTGACCTCGCGTGTCCAGGGGTGTCTGACCCCCCAGGTGACCCCGTGTGTCTAGGGGCGTCTGACCCCTCCAGGCTGACTTTGCGTGTCTAGGGGCGTCTGACCCCCCCAGGCTGACTTCACGTGTCCAGCGGTGTCTGACCCCCAGAGCCGACCCAACTTTTTCTGGCTACTCCGGAGTCCACTACCCCTGTGGGCCTCGTGAGCTCCGCGGGGCGCTGTCCTCCCTCCGGGGACACTCAATCCCAGGGAAGGCAGCTAATCCGTCCTCGCCTTTCGAACTGCGGAGGCCGCGGGGCAGGCCGGGGAGGGGCGCCATGTCCAAGGCGTCCGCCCGCCGGGGGCCTCTGCCGCGGCCCCCCGCGACCCCATGACCCCGGGCCCCCGTGTCTCCCGGCACCCCGTGACCCCGGTCCCTGGTGACCCCCGACCTCGCCCGCACTCACCGCACCAAGCGCCGCCTTCCGGGCGCCGGAAGCGGCCGGCGACTTCCGGTCCCGCCCCCAGCCCTGCGCGCATGTGCGGAAGCGGCGGGTGCACCTCGCAGACACTGGCGGGACTCGGTGAAGCGGTTTATTGAGACCAAGACAACATCGAGTGCGGCCGGACCGAGGGCGGCCCCGGGCAGTGGTCAGCACGCCGTGGCCCGCCCCGCATCCTCCCCGCGCACATCACATAGAAAAGGGAAACAATAAATAAAACCCCATTAGTTAAATATATCAACACCGAAAAGTGTATAAATTAGGAAACAAATGTACAAACTATTTCACAAAGTGCTTTTTAAAATATATACACAACATTCAGGAAATTGTTCATGTAAGACATCTTGGATGGAAGTGGGGTGATAACTATTTTAGGTCCTTCAGAAAGTTACCACAGTGCTTCTTACACGGGGCAGCTTCCAGCACGCTGACAGCTGTTGGGCAACGCCCCCGCCCATGGGCAGCTGGCTACGGCAGGGCTGAGTCCCCTGCTGGCTGCGGGCACGGCTCTGCCCCCCACCGGCTGCGGGCACTGTGCGCTGACCAGGTCGAGCCTTGCAGACACGCATACCGAGGAAGGCTGGGAGGATCTGCCGTGGCCAGGCTGGTGCTCTCCCTGCCACGGGAGCCGTGGGCCCTGTCCACACAGGACATGTGGGGAGGCCATGGAAGCCCCACAGCTGTCAATTTCAGTCAGGAAGGAATTTTTAAAATGCAAAACTTAACCCGTGAAAGAGCAGCAGCAGCCGCGCCCGCCGGCCTTCCGCTGGTAGTTTGCGAATTTCTTGGGAACGGAGGAGCATCTTCCAGAGAGGTCTGTTATGCTGGTGGGGCGTCCCCCACGATCGTGGGTTCGGGGTGCGCTGCCATCAGGGTCTACACAGAGTGTAGATTCAGTGGGATTCACACTGTAGGAACGCATAAGCCAATCAGATTTCCCCACGCAAACCTTCCCTTTTCGCCGCGAAGAATGGAGCAGCATCCGATGAGAGGGGTGTGGGTCACCCCACGGAGATCCTCCTGGCCGGTCCAGACAAGCAGGTCCCAGGAGGAACCTCACACAAGGGCTGGGGCACACGGCGTCAGTCCCGGAAATCCGGAAACAGGTCAGGGCACGCGTCACCCTCTGTGCCAGGGGTGGCCGCCAGACGCAGGCCGAGCGGCCCAGCTCAGCCCGGCACCCGGCCTCGGCTGTGCCACGCTGCTTGTGCAGTCACCCCCCATGGATTCTGCGGGGTGCGCTCACTGACCCAGTGTCCTCTGTAAGACAAGCACATCCACCTTTCACTTGACGGAGCTGGAGGGAAGCCCGGGTCAGCAGGCGCCGTCCACACAAAGCAAGCTTTATCTTTGCACTGAGTCAGAAGCCACCCCTGGGCGGGAAGGGGCCGTCCACGGTCTACCGAGTCGCAGCTGCATTCGAACCTGTGAGTGAGCAGAGAGCAGACGGGAGGTGGCAACTCTTATGTAGCCTGTCGCTGATGGACCCCGCAGCCAGCTGGAAAACGGCAGGGCAGCGAGGGGACCAGGGTCCACGCAGGGTACCATACACAGTACCCTGGCACGCTCAGCTGCGTGCCCAGTGTGAACCAGACATGGCAGCCAAGGGGCCACCATCAGGTCAGTCCGTCAGACACGCTGTTGGCCCATCTGTCCCCAGGCGGACACGCTACCCGAGCGCTCCAAGGACGCTGGTCCTCACTGCTGGTAGTTTCCATACTGGCCCTGAAAGAGAGGGAGAGACAGGTCACCCTCTGCAGTCACGGGCAAGAGGGACCACAGATGCCCAGCACCAGGAGGGGGACATGGAAACACATCCACAGACAGCACTGTGGTCAGCACAGCCGTGGGACAGCTGGCCTCTGCTGCGATGACGTCACTTCCAGGTTCTCCGCCCAGCGCTGCCAGAGACTGCACAGCCAGGAAGTGAGCTGGGGGGGGCTTCTGGGGAGCCAGTTTTCTTCCCGCTCCTGCTTTGCAGACACCCCAAAACTGCAACCCAGCAACCCAGGGAGCAGCCACCCCAAGCCACCCCCCAACACAGCTGGGCCTAGCCCCATGTTCCCAGAGGGAGCCACTAGCCAAGAGCTGGGGACACCCCTGTTTGTCACAATCGGGGTGTCCTGGGCACCCACAGGCACTGCCAGTACCCAAGGATGCAGCTGGGCAGGGGTTCTGTTATGGCTTGATGACCAGTCACTTCTCAACTGCTCTCTGATGCCTGGCAAATGCCCGCTCCCAGGAGAACCCAGCCTTCTGTGAGCTAACGGGCATACTTGGCACCTTCCTCATGGAGGAAAACCCACAATGCACCGCGCTCTGCCACGCCCTTGGCAGAGTCAGCTGTCACTCAGGCCTCCCACCTGGCACCACAGTGGCAGAGAGCAGTCCTGCAACTAAGCTTCTGCAAAGCAGCTGCCGGCACACGCCCTACCTGCTCCCCTGCTGCCTGTCCTGGACCTGTAACAGCTGCCCTGGGCACAGAATCCTTGCCCTGGTGTTGCCTGCACCTTGTTCATGGCTCATCTCAGCCCTGCCCACCTCTTCGGTCTGGCCTGGCCGTACATCCCCGAGGCCCCCACAACTCTGCCTTCCCCTGTCTCAGAGGGAACTAAACGGTACCGTGCCCAACACCAGCTCTGGCTCTCCCATACATTTCCGTCACCTTAAGGAGCTGAAAAGCACCCGGGCTCCTTGCACTCCTGGCTCACCTATTGGGCCGCGACGGCCCCCTGACCTGAATGTCACACCCCCACAGTAGCCCCTGCCCCATACCGAACTGTGTGCCCAGCACTTCTGTCTGTCTACCTGTGCCACTCCGCCATGCTGCGTCCTCAGAGCCCCTGCTCACCCCTCAATCCCTTGGGGATCCTGCCAAACCTCCGCCCAGTGCTTCTCTCTGGAACTGTCACCACCTGTAGGTGTGCCTGGCACTGCCCAGCCCTTGATCACAAAGGCCACACTTGATGTCTCCTGGGGGAGGGGGCTCGGACAACCAAGAGCCTGCAGAGTGAACGAAGAAACAAATCCGACAGACCCAGGGTGTCCGTAGCCAGTGGGCACATACACAAAACGAGTTCAAACCCTCCCAAGCCGATCAGTGAGACCGTCCGCATGCCTGGACATACGGGCTGCATGGCCATGCCTGGGGCCCCCGGGAAGCTTGCCTGCTCGTAGCCGTAGGGCCGCTGCTGCTGGGCGGAGGGTCCTGTCTGTGAGGCCCGGTAGCTCCCGTACTGCTGGCCTTGACCTTGCTGGTAGCTGGAGTACTGTGAGGGTGCTCCCTGGGTTGGCCCTGAGAGGACACGGGGTGTGTGAGGCCACCCCACCCACCTGCCAGCCTCCCCACATGCATGTGGCCCCAACTCCATATGGTGAGACAGCGCACGGTCTCTCAGTGGCCTCTCCAGCCTTGTGGGGCCCGGGGCTGCCCCCACCCCGACGCCACAGCTGCTCCCTGGGGCTGCCCTGGAGTCCACACAGCACGTCGGGGCTGAGGGGCTGCCCTGGAACCACCTGGGGGCCGTTACGGGGCTGCTGCGAACACAAAACTGACACTTCACAAGAACAGAGACCCCGCAGGAGCAAGAGAACCACCTCCGCTAACCCCCGCTGACGCCCCGGGACCACGCAGGCCCAGCTTTCCCAGCACTGCCATGTGAAGGGCCTGGAGCTTGTGTCATGGAGCTTTCCCACGGGGTGCACAGCAACCACACGGGCTCCCTGAGACCGGGCACACAAGGGTATTACACTGAGCTGGGGCTCTGGCATCGTCCAGACCCTACAGAAGACGCTGAGGTGCAGGCAGGGTGAGAGCCGAGGCTGGACACCACACGTCCTTGGTGTGTGTGAGGTCAGACGCCCTCTTACTGTAAGCTCACTGTGGCCAGACCCCTCTCATCGTAGGCCTGCTGCTGCCCGGGGTTCCCCTTACCGTAGGCCTGCTGCTGCCCAGGATAGCTCTGCTGGCCGGGGTACTGCTGCCCAGAGTAGCCCTGCTGCTGGGCAGTGCCCTGCTGGTAGCCAGCCTGCTGCTGGTTGTACTGGGAGTTTCCTGCAGAGAGGAGGAGCAGGGCTCAGTCACGGCCCAGGGAGCTGACTCCGGCGCCCCACTGCCCCCATTTCCTGCTTCAAGAACAGTCAGGGAGCCAGGAGAAACCAGACTAACAGGACCCAGGAGAACACGGGGCACGGGTGGGCGTCCTGAGCCCCTGTGCTGTGGCCTGTGAGGGTGAGGACGGGGCCAGAGTCTCGCGTTTCCTGCTGAGTGGACTGCCGGACAGCTGAGGGCGCCGACCAGTGAGAAACAACGAGAGAAGCCGACGTGGCTTGGAGCCCCCACAGCAGCCAAGGACACACAGGCAGGGTACGGGTGACAGCCCGGGCAGCCCCTCGGCTACGCCGGAAATCAACACTGCCAGCACTCCCATGTAGCAGTGCGAGGTTGAGACCTTGCCCTGGCCCATGCGGGGTGCTAAGGGTGGCCCTGGGGCAGCAGCCCTGGGCCCGCGTGTGGAGTCCCGAGGGTGGCCCTGGGCCCATGCGGTGAGCCACTGGTGGTCTTGGGGCCTGGCCCCGGGCTCCTGTGAGTGCTGGCAGGACCCCCTGCTACAACACGCAGCATGACGGAGGACCCTCCTCTGTGGCCCCAGCCCTGCCTTCTCTGTAGACAAAGTGCCTCATCCCCCATTGACCGCCACGGGCACCTACACTTTACGCTTCCTTCTGCAAGAAGCCCCCAGCCAAGGGGGAAAGGCTCACGGTGAACCTGGGTCACCAGCCAGTTCAGCCAAGTGTCAGCAGCCGGGCCCTCCCAGAAGCTTCGTGGGCCTGGGGCTGCGCCTCAAGGTGGCCCATGCACACCCCAGGGCCCGCCGACAAGAGCAGGACCTCGTGGCCACTTCCTGCAGCACTGCCCCCCCAGAGCCCCCCGAGAGCCCCACGAGGCCCTGAAGGTGAGGGGGTCTGGGTTTACCTAGTACAGGAGCCATGGCTGGGACACACACTCACACACACACACACCACACATATACCATGCACATACACCACACACACACACACACACTCACACCACACACACTCACACACATACACTCATACACAACACACATATACCACGTACATACACACACACAACACACATACACACACACTCACACAGCACACACAACACACATATACCACACACACTCACACCACACACACACACCTACACCCCACACTCACACATATACCCACACAGACACCACATACACTCATACACACACATACAGCACACACACACTCACACACATACAGCACACACACATACACACACTCACATACATATACCGCACACACACACACCACACACACTCACACACCACACACACTCACACATATACTCCCACATACACTCACGCACAGTTAAGCTTTCCTTATGGGGTGTGACCTAGACATAGCGCTTTAGCACAGGGGCTAAGAGGCCCACATTCCACATGGCAGGGCTTGGGTTCGAGTCCCAGCTATGGCCTTAACTTCAGTTTCTCAGCATGCTCTCCTGGGGCTCCAGACTGGGTCACCCCACCAGCTTAGGCCACTGAGGTCACTTGGGAAGTGACCTGGAGAATGGGAGCTAGTGCCCTTCTCACTAAAATGGTGCTGTGGTGCGACACGTTAAGCCGCTGGCTACAGTACCCACATCCTGTGTGGGCACTAGTTCAAGTCCTGTCTACTTCAGAGCCATATCCCCCAACGGCCTTGGGAAATGGCTCAAACCCTTGGTCTCCTGGGTTCTGCCAGGTCCAGCCTTGGCCATTGTGGCCATCTGGGGGGAGAAGCAGCAGATGCAAGACCTCTGTTCCTCTAACTCTTCCATGTAAATACATCCTTTAAGCAAGCAGACAGACAGTTCAGGCTGGGGCCGGTTCAAGTCCTGGCTGCCCTGCCCAGGCTCCAGCTCCCTGCTTGCGGCCTGGTCCAGTGCTGGGGCCCCCGTACCCAGAGGGAGACCCGGGAGGAGCTGCTGGCTACCTGAGAGGCCACCATGGAGAGAGGCTCTCTTCCTCCGTCTCCTAATTCTTTCAAATAAACACGAGTCTTCAATGAACACAGCTGAGGTGCTGGATCTTGCCACGCGACCTCTGACGCCGCCTGAGAGCAGGTGCTTCTCCCTGCACTGGTCTTGTCGGGCCACCCTCCTCCCCCCACCTCTGGCCAGAGGAACCTGTGACTGCCAAGGCCGTCCAGGCAAGCAGCTGACCACCTGGCCCTGCCCAGCTGTAGCATTTCCCAAGTCCACCCCCAGCGAGCCACTGATGTTCTGCAGTGGCTAGGCAGCATCTGCCACCGACACAGGCTACCTGCTGGGCAAGCAGGGCCAGTTGGCCAGATGCCAGCCCTGAGACACACGTCCCCTGGCCACTCCAAGGGGCCACACCCCAAGCACACATCACCCGCTTGGCTTAGCAGCTCCCGGCGAGCCTGGGTCCTGCCATCCTGGCCTCTGAGTGGCTCACAGCCCCTCCACCAATTTCTCCAGTGTCCATGCTGCTGCCCTCCTGTGCCAGTGGACGCTCTTACCCCCCTCGTAGTAGTGCTGTGTAGACTCATCAAAGGAGCGGTCGTAGCTCTGTTCCGTGTAGGATGACTGCTGATACGTGTAGTCACCATGGCCTGTGAGACACACACAACCGTCAGCCCCGGGGCCCAGGCCGTCTCCCCAGGCTGGCCTGCCCGGCCTGCGCCGGGAACTGCAGGCGTCCGTTCCCTTCTTCCCACCACTTCTTGCGTTCCTAGGAGGCCAAGTCCTGGCTGGGAAAATGAGCTGACTTTGGGGGTGGCGCCACCAGGGGGTGCTGTGACCGTGACTGCCCACAGGGGACTTTGGGGACAGCGCCAGCAGGGCCACCTGAGCATGGCCGCAGCAGGGCACCTGGCCACATAGCCCTGGGGGCGGAACTGATGCTGCTTTCCTGCCTGAAGCACTCCAAACCCAGCCACCCTGACCACCACTAAATGCTGATGCTGACAACAGGAGAGCCAAGTGCAGGGTGAGCGCCTGAGGCAGAGCTGCAGTGCGCACACCAGCTCGTGGCCAGGTGAGGCTGCCGGGATGGCTGCCGGCAGCGCCCAGCCCCGAGGCAGGGGGAGGGGGTGGTGGCAGAAGGTGCCAGAGCTTGTCGGCAGAGGACCATGCACTGCCAGGCTGGCCCTTGTCCCCCACCGCAAGATGCACAGAGGGCCGAGGAGGCTCCGCTGGGACCTGGCATCCACACCCGGGGGGGGGAGGCAGGGCCCCACCGTCTGGGTAGTACTGCTGGTTCATGGACTCCGAGGCGCCTTGGCTGTGGCTGTACTGCTCACTGTAGTACTCCTCCTGGCCCAGGTACTGCTGCGAAGAGCCTGTGGGTGGGACGGGGGGCACTCAGCAGCCTGGACCACCTTCGCCACGACCTCCTGCTCCCCTCCAAACCCGGCACTGAGCCTCCCAAGGACAGCAGAGGCCTGCAGCCCGAGCAGTCCTGGGCATTACCTTGCTGGGATGGCCGGTATGGCGCCATGGGCCGCTGTCCCATCATGCCGCTCCCCTGACCGCCCTGGCCCATCATGGCGATGGATGACTGGGCCTGGTAGTGCTGGCTCCCGCCCTGCGCCGAGTTGTAGTGCGATGTGGCCGCCTGCTGATGCATCATGGGAACTGCGTGACATGACGGAGCCCAGTCACACCCGGCGCAGGCCTTACCCACATCCCCACGCTGTGGCTGCATGCCCCCCTCCGCTCCCCTCTTGGCCCCAAGAATGGCACCTGTGGCTGTCAGGCGCCCACGCTCAGACCCCCACTGTCGTCCAGCTGCTCAGCCTGGCTCGGGAGCCTCTGTGTGAGGGCGGAGCTGCTGCCAGGAGTGCCATGTCACCCACTCCCTGCAGAGCCTGGCTCCCCGTAGGGAGCTGCTGGGCACAGGGCCAGAGAGCCCACGTCGGCAGGGAGTCATGGGTCCTCACGTGCCTGCACACACAGCACTTCGCCCATGCTGTGCTGCCGACTGGCTGGTCCCTACTCCAGAGCAGGCCCCTCACTGTGGACCACCTCCCTCTGGTCCTGGCCCTGCTCAGCACCCGCGTGGCAGGGCTGGACACACGAATGCATGTCCAGCACCCAGCGACTGTTCCTTCAACAAAGCAAGTCTTCACCATGGAGCTCCACAGCAGCTTGAGGAGGCCTCGTATGGTGCTCTGTGCCTGTCACACTCAGGGGACCCTGTGCTGGGACCAGCCGCTCCCCAGGCCATCGGCAACCCACGCGGTCCTCCCAGCTCCCTCCACCTTGGGCAGGCTGCTTCCTGCCGGGGGACGGTCAGTCCTGCCCAGCCCTTCCTCGGGTCCAGGCCCCGTGTGCCGGCTCGGATCTGTGCATGTCCCTCCTAGCACCCCACACCTAAGGGACCCCAAGACGGCCCACGTACTTCCCTGTCCCCGCATCCAAGTGGGCACAGCCGCCGGGTACCTGGGTTAGAGGGCATGTTGATATTGCTGCGGGACACGTAGCTGCTGATGGGGCCCTGCCCCTGCATGGGGACGCTCTGCGAGGAGGGTCCTGCGTGGCTGTAGCCAGGCGCCGAGCCGTGGCCGCTGCCTGACATGCTCATGGAGGTGGTGGGCAGCGTGCTCTGCGCCGTCTGCTGCATGGACGCGTGGCTGGGGCCTGTGGTGCGGGGCAGACATTACCACCTCTGACCCGGACACACCCTGGGCTTCCCCAGAACGGCAAGGAGTGTGTCTATTCCCAGGGCTGCACATGTGTGTTGGTGTCCACCCCCAGCCCTGTGGGAGTGGGGAGCAAGGGGTCCCCCGATGGCCCCTGCCCCGCGTGCTCACCGTTGCCAATCTGGCCCTGTAAGAGGGAGGTCGGGGGCAGGCCTGAGCCAATGGCGTCGCTGAGGCTGCCCTGGGCGTGCAGGCCCTGGCCGGGGCCACTCTGTGTCAGGGCACCAGGGCCCAGGGTCATGTTCTGGGTCGGTGGCTGCAAACGACAGGAAGGTTCGCATTAGGGAGGGGCGGTGGGACAATGACATGCAGGGAGCCAGTCAGCCGGGGCAGGTGACACCATACGAGGGGTATGCCTCCAGAGCTGAACAGGCACCGTGCTGACCTACACACGCTGGGCAGTAAAAGCCAAGCTCTCCTCCTGGGGAGGACCCCCTGAATGGTCATGCACCCCTGCCATGTACGCCCGCTCCCCCCATTCTCCTTCCGTCCACTGTAGTGAGCAGTGCACAGAAGTGGGCCAGGTCTGTTACCATCCCGGCTGACGCTGCCCCCGCTGCGGCCTGCAGCCTGGTAAGGCTGACTTCCCAGCGGCACCCGTCCAGTGTGCCCTGGTGGCCCAGCTGTCCTGGCCCTGCAAGGCTGTGTCCCTGGGATGCTGCGTGGCCCGTGAGTCGTACTCACCGCGGGCAGCAGGGACTGCATATTCTGGTTGGAGTCCGCGATGGTGGCCAGGTACACCAGATTCCGGTGCAGAATCTGCTGGTACCTGCAGCAAGAGCCACGCAGCTCAGGCTGAAGGACAGAGCGGCCTGCCCCCAGGACGCCCCGAATCTCAAGTTTAACCAGACAGACCCCACTGGGACACCTGAGCAGCCCCCCACCCCACTGCAGTAAGCTAGGCTCTGGCCATGTCCCCAGCAGGCTCCATCCCATGACAAGAGCATGGACCAGGCAGACAAGGGGAGGTGGCCCTAGTCTGTCCAGAGGCAAAAATGGACAGAGGCTGGCAGGCAGCCAGAGGGAGAAGGGCGAGGGAGCCAGACAGCCACCTTACTCCACAGGGCAGCCACCTAAAACCTGGAAGGATGGGGAGCAGCCCACCTGAGTCCTTTACTGCCACACCCACTGCCCAGCCCCTCACCTACCGCCTACACACCCACTGCCCAGCCCCTCACCCACTGCCCGCACACCCACTGCCCAGCCCCTCACCCACTGCCCAGCCCCTCACCCACTGCCCGCACACCCACTGCCCAGCCCCTCACCCACTGCCCAGCCCCTCACCCACTGCCCGCACACCCACTGCCCAGCCCCTCACCCACTGCCTACACACCCACTGCTCAGCCCCTCACCCACTGCCTACACATCCACTGCCCAGCCCCTCGCCTGCACACCCACTGCCCAGCCCCTCGCCCACTGCCCAGCCCCTCGCCTGCACACCCACTGCCCAGCCCCTCGCCTGCACACCCACTGCTCAGCCCCTCACCCACTGCCTACACACCCACTGCCCAGCCCCTCACCCACCGCCTGCACACCCACTGCCCAGCCCCTCGCCTGCACACCCACTGCCCAGCCCCTCGCCCACTGCCCACACACTCACTGTGTGCATTCGGCTGTCTTGCCCTTGCTTTGGAAGTCCAGGATGCTCTGAATCAAGTGGTGGTTCTCATCCAGCATCTGGTGGGCAGAGGGGAGCAGGGGAGTAGGCACCATGGCATGGCTGGCGGGTCTCCGAGCTGTGCTCACTGCCATGTGGGACCAGGCTAGCGTACATCCGCAAGTGAACCAGGGTCGGGCTTGCCCACCTCACAGGACCCTGCACTGCTGGGTATATGCCCAGCAGGAGCCAGCTGAGCGACTCCATGAGAAGGCGCACACCAGGCCCTGGAGTCCACCTGCAGAGCACCCACCACAGGTCGGTCACACTAGCAACAGACAGGGCAGCATGCAGGCTGGGTGGGCAAGGAGGGGGAAAGGACCAGGCCAGTAGGCTGGGGGGCCCTCGCTGCCCTCCCCCACTGCTGATGCCTCTTGGGAGATGGAAGAGCAGGGAACTGCAAACTGCTGGCTGACCCTCCGTGTCCTGCACGTGTGTGGACATGAGACAGTCCCATGGAACCGGCTGGCTGACCCTCCGTGTCCTGCACGTGTGTGGACATGAGACAGTCCCATGGAACCGGCTGGCTGACCCTCTGTGTGTCCTGCACGTGTGTGGACATGAGACAGTGCCATGGAACCGGCTGGCTGACCCTCCGTGTCCTGCACGTGTGTGGACATGAGACAGTCCCATGGAACCGGCTGGGTGACCCTCTGTGTCCTGCACGTGTGTGGACATGAGACAGTTCCATGGAACCGGCTGGGTGACCCTCCGTGTCCTGCACGTGTGTGGACATGAGACAGTGCCATGGAACCGGCTGGCTGACCCTCCGTGTCCTGCACGTGTGTGGACATGAGACAGTGCCATGGAACCGGCTGGCTGACCCTCTGTGTGTCCTGCACGTGTGTGGACATGAGACAGTCCCATGGAACCGGCTGGCTGACCCTCTGTGTGTCCTGCACGTGTGTGGACATGAGACAGTGCCATGGAACCGGCTGGCTGACCCTCCGTGTCCTGCACGTGTGTGGACATGAGACAGTGCCATGGAACCGGCTGGCTGACCCTCCGTGTCCTGCACGTGTGTGGACATGAGACAGTCCCATGGAACCGGCTGGCTGACCCTCTGTGTGTCCTGCACGTATGTGGACATGAGACAGTGCCATGGAACCGGCTGGGTGACCCTCCGTGTCCTGCACGTGTGTGGACATGAGACAGTCCCATGGAACCGGCTGGCTGACCCTCTGTGTGTCCTGCACGTGTGTGGACATGAGACAGTCCCATGGAACCGGCTGGCTGACCCTCCGTGTCCTGCACGTGTGTGGACATGAGACAGTCCCATGGAACCGGCTGGCTGACCCTCTGTGTGTCCTGCACGTATGTGGACATGAGACAGTGCCATGGAACCGGCTGGCTGACCCTCCGTGTCCTGCACGTGTGTGGACATGAGACAGTCCCATGGAACCGGCTGGCTGACCCTCTGTGTGTCCTGCACGTGTGTGGACATGAGACAGTGCCATGGAACCGGCTGGGTGACCCTCTGTGTGTCCTGCACGTGTGTGGACATGAGACAGTCCCATGGAACCGGCTGGGTGACCCTCTGTGTGTCCTGCACGTGTGTGGACATGAGACAGTCCCATGGAACCGGCTGGCTGACCCTCTGTGTGTCCTGCACGTGCGCAGACACGCCCCTGGGCATAATCCAACCTCCAGATTTGAGACAATTTCTTCCAGTGACACGGGAGCACGGATGTGGCCAGAGCCCAGGCTCCGGGCCCAAGGTGGCGGGGGCAAACCCTGGCGGCCCACAAGGGGGACAGCAGGGACCTCAGCACCCAACTCAGCTCTGCTTCATGTCCAGGAGCACTTCCTCCACCCGCAGCCTAGGGGGGCAGCGGCAGGGGCAAGGCCAGGAAGATGGCCCCAGGCAGTGGGGTGTGAGAGGAGGCGGAGACAGAGGGTGAAGGAGGTAGAAGCACCACAGCCCGGGGCCATGCCATGGGCCTCCTCACTAGCATGCCACCTTTCCATGCAACAGGCCTTCCCGCAGAGGCACAGCTACAGAAGGCCCAGCGCCTGGTGCCCCACTAAGAGCTGCCAGGTGGCCTCAGGCACACACACCACAGTCCTGCTGTTCCCGTGTTGGTAACCTCCCCTCTTCCCCACACGGCCGGGATGTGGGTCTGAATTGGCCACCAGAGGGCGCTGCTGGCCAGGAGCCGCCTGCCCCGTGCACCTGCCAGGCGGGGAGGGCGCGCGGCTCCTGGGGATCACCAGGATGACGAGGTGCCCTCCACCTCCAAAGGTCTCCAGGGAAATGCAGGGGCACAGCACACCACAGATGGGCACGTCAGCACCCTTCAGGCTCAACAGGCGGCCAGGTCAGTGACGACAACTGCTCTTACCAGCACCCTCCCAGCACCAGGACACAGCAGTGCCAGATAGCCCAGACACAGCAAAGAGAAAGGAGTGAGGTTGGGTCCGGAGCCATAGCCTAGTGGCTAAATCCTCGCCTTGCACGCGCTGGGATCCCACGGGAGTGCAGGTCTGTGTCCTGGCTGCTCCACTTCCCATCCAGCTCCCTGCATGTGGCCTGGGAAAGCAGCTGAGGACGGCCAAAAGCCTTGGGACCCTGCATCCACATGGGAGAACTGGAGGAAGCTCCTGGCTCCTGACTTCAGATTGGCGCAGCGCCAGCCACTGTGGCCACTTGGGGAGTGAACCAGCACACAGAGGACATTTCTCTATGTGTATCTGCCTTTCAAATAAAAACAAAAAAATCTTCAGACAAACAAAACAAAACAAAACAAAACAAAACAAAACAAGGGAGTGAGGCTGCAGCAGCAGGATCCGCGTGCAGGCCAGGGCCTCTGATGGGGGCGTCACCAGGTACAGCCCACAAGGTTAGGGCTACTGAGGCTCCCTGTGGTGGGTGCGGCCAGCACGTAGCACACACAGGGCCACCACCATGTGGACACAACTCTGACACGAGACTGAGACCACAGAAGCTGACAGACACACAAAATGATGCAGTTCGTGGGTCAGAGAACGGGGGCGCCAAGTCCACAGTAACGGGGTGCAACAAAGGCCGTGCGGAAGGGCTGGCTAGAGTGAGGCAGGTGGACAGAGGGCACAGGCAGGTGGACAGACACAGGAACAGGCAGGTGGACAGAGGGCACAGGCAGGTGGACAGACACGGGGACAGGCAGGTGGACAGACACGGGGACAGGCAGGTGGACAGACACGGGGACAGGCAGGTGGACACGGGGACAGGCAGGTGGACAGACACGGGGACAGGCAGGTGGACAGACACGGGGACAGGCAGGTGGACACGGGGACAGGCAGGTGGACACGGGGTCAGGCAGGTGGACAGACACGGGGACAGGCAGGTGGACAGACACGGGGACAGGCAGGTGGACAGACACGGGGACAGGCAGGTGGACAGACATGGGGACAGGCAGGTGGACAGACACGGGGACAGGCAGGTGGACACGGGGTCAGGCAGGTGGACACAGGGACAGGCAGGTGGACAGACATGGGGACAGGCAGGTGGACAGACACGGGGACAGGCAGGTGGACACGGGGACAGGCAGGTGGACACGGGGACAGGCTCTGAGAAATTCTAACCTAGCAAAGCCTCACAGAGCACAAGGACAGATCGAAGGGCGGGCCAGCCCACGCGGACACAAGGTGCCCCCGCTGAACGGCTTCCCGTAACTGGCCAGGGCCTCAGGAGCAGGTCAGGTGGCCTGAACACGCTAGCAACGGCCCAGGGAGGACAGCGGATGGGACAGAGCCACAGCCCCAGTCAGTGTCCGTCCAAAGTCCTCTCCAGAAACCACCCTGGAGAACCAGGAAGCGCAGGACAGCAGGGCGCAAGCCAGCTCGGACAGAGGGCAGGCGGGAGCACGCCAACACGGTGAATTCCAGGAAGAGGGTACCCCGACACCTGTTGGAGGCTGCCACAGCCGCACACACTGCAAGACCCACAGAAGTCAAGGTGTCCAGCAGAGCAGGGCACCCCAGGAGAGCTGCGGCGGGGCCATGAACTGGGGGAGCACCCCCACTGCAGCCCCTCCCCGGAGCTGGTGCAGGGCGTGTCGGGGGGCCCTGCCTGAGAAGTGTCCTTTGGGACATGCAGGACAACAGCGGTTACAGAGCGGCAGGAGTGACCTGACAACCCCCCTTGCCTGTACCACAAGCCCCACACCTTCCCATTCATGTCTTTTCTCGTTTTCTTTTATGATTTATTTATTTTTATTGGAAAGCCAGATTTACACAGTGAAAGACACAGAGAAAGATTTTCTGTCTGCTGACTTAGTCCACAAGTGGCCGCAACGGCCAGAGTTGAGCTTGCCCGAAGCCAGGAGCCTTCACCAGGTTTCCTGTATTTGTGCAGGGTCCCAAGGCTTTGGACCGTCCTCCACTGCTTTCCCAGGCCACAGGTAGGGAGCGGGATGGGAAGTGGAGCTGCCTGGCCATGAACTGAGGCCCACATGGAATCCCAGTGCCTGGGGCTGGAAGGTCAACCGGGGGAGCCATTGTGCTCTCTGAGTTTTTCTGTAAAATGTCACGGGTTGGTTATTTTGTAAGAGCAGCAGCCACAGGAGACAGATCTTCCATCTGCTGGTTCTCACCAGGCTGGGAACGGTCCTGGATGAACCTAGGAGCTTCCTCCACTGCTTTCCCAACATATTAGCATGAATTGGATTAAAACTGGAGCAGCAGGGACTTGAACCAGCACCCCAGTATAGATGCTGGTGTCACTGCAAATAAGGGCCTAACACACGACACCATAACCCTTGATTCTTCACCTGCAAAATGCCCCTGGGGAGTGACCCCAGGCCTCAGCGGCACTTGGGGAGTGACCCCAGGCCTCAGCGGCACTTGGGGAGTGACCCCAGGCCTCAGCACTCTGGGCGTGTATACTAGACGCCGTTGGACCCTAAGGCCAAGGGGGGGAGGGGCAACTTAGATTCACAGAGGAGAGGAGATGAGAGAGGTGAGGTCTGGAGGGACGAGGCCCAAGGAGTAAGGGATGGACCCCCGCCAACAGAGGCCTCCCGGCTCCCCCAGAGCCCTGGAGCCAGCGGACTAGGGTGTCCACGTCAGCTCATCCCAAAATGCTCCGGGGCAGAGCCTGTGTTACCTGTGGCACTGCGCCAGGCAGGGGTCCAGAGGAGAGCCGGCCACCTGGCAGCTCAGAGCCCGAGCAAGCCCTCTCGTCCCTCCCAGCGCTGTCCAGTGCTCCACTGCTACCTTGCGATGGGGCTCTGGTCAGTGGCAGGGCTGGGCAGTGCAGACGCACAGGCAGCGGGGAGAGCTGGCCCTTCTCGCCCTCCCTGCGCCTCTCACACCCTGGGATGCTCGCCGAGCCCTGCAGACCCCTGCAGACCCCCGGCACCAGCACTCCACATGGGCGCTGCTCCACGTCCTGGCTGCTCCACTTCCCAAGGCCCGGGAGGGCAGCAGCAGATTGCGGAAGTTCTGGGGCCCCAAGTGGGAGTTCCGGATTCAGACCAACCGCACTGCAACTGTCGCGGCCATTCAGACCACTCTCTTCCTAATTCTGTCTTTCAAATATAAAAAAGAAGCCCAGGGGATGTCTACACTGGACCCCAAGGTGGCAGGTGGCTCACGGTGCTACCAGGCAGGCAGATGGACAGCCTGCAGTTCCCTCCTCCACCTGCTGCCAGCTCACCCACACTGCTCCTGCACAACTTGGGGTGTCAAGCCAGGGGAACGACAACAGTGGAGTGCTAAACGGCCAGTGCCAGGACACCCCGAGCCGCCCGCAGGCTTGCCCCAGGGCCAGCGCACCACCCTGACCTGGCCTGGGAGCTCCCTCAGGGCCGCTGCCGCTCCAGGCTAGTGCACCCCTTCCCTGGACGGGACTCAGGCTGCCCTTCCACTTGGCCCGGCCCGGCTGCTGCAGGCGCATGGCGGAGATGGGAGAGCGCACGTAGAAAATAGACGCGTGACGCTCTCGTCAGGTAGCGCGAGGCCGCACGTGCGAGGAACTGGCCAAGGTCCTCGTGCACCACCGTGTCCAAGGTCAGGCTCCCCGGGCCCGTCCCGGGCCAGGGTCGGCGGGAGGCTGCGGGGTGCGGGAGCGAACCCCACGGCCGCGCGCGCTGCGAGGGGCGCAGGGACCGCGGCTCGCTCAACACGGCGCAGGGCCGGAGCGCGCGGTGCGGGAGGCGGCGGGGACCTCGGCGCGCCTCCGGCCCGGTGGGCGTGGGCTCTCCGGGGAGCGCGGGGCCGCCCGGCTGCGCCCCGGCTTTGTTCGCGCCCCGCGCCCGCCGGCCCCCCGCTGCCGCCGGCCCCCCGCGCGCGCCGCCCCGCGCCCCGGCGCGACCCACCTTCTGGATGGTCTGCTGCGTGACCTCCCCCTTGCCTCGCGGCCGGGCGGACGCGAAGGCCACGGACATGGTGGCGACGCGGGGCTGCGCCCGGGATCACCGGGGCTGCGGGCGGCCCGGGGAGCTCCTTCTCCGCAGTCGCCAGGGGGGCGCGGAGCGCGGGGGACGCCGCGCAGTGGGCTCGCCCAGCCCGCCGCCCCGCGCCGCCGCCCGGGCCCCGCAGCTCCGCCGCCCGCCGCCCGCCCCGGCCCGAGGCCCCGCGCCGCGCGCCCGCCCCGGCGGCCGCTCCGCGCCCCGCGCCCGCCCCGCCGCCCGCCGCGCCACCCCCGCCGCGCGCCCGCCCGTGGTTCGGCCCGCCGCCGCCGGCGCGCGCCCGCGTCGCCGTGACGTCACGGGCGCGGCGTGCGTGCGCGCTCCGGCCGTGAGTGTGCGCTTTCGGGCGGCGGCGGCGGAGCTGCCCGGGCGGCCCACGATGAGCTACGACCGCGCCATCACCGTCTTCTCGCCCGACGGCCACCTGTTCCAAGTGGAGTACGCGCAGGAGGCCGTCAAGAAGGGCTCGACCGCGGTGAGGCGCGGGGCCTGGGGGCCGGGGTGGCCGGGGTGGCGGCTCCGTGCGCGGGGCTTGGGCCGTGGTGGTGGCCGAGGAGGAGGCTCCGTGCGCGGGGCCTGGGCCGGGGTGGTGGCCGAGGAGGAGGCTCCGTGCGCGGGGCCTGGGCCGTGGTGGTGGCCGAGGAGGAGGCTCCGTGCGCGGGGCCTGGGCCGTGGTGGTGGCCGAGGAGGAGGCTCCGTGCGCGGGGCCTGGGCCGGGGTGGTGGCCGAGGAGGAGGCTCCGTGCGCGGGGCCTGGGCCGGGGTGGTGGCCGAGGAGGAGGCTCCGTGCGCGGGGCCTGGGCCGGGGTGGTGGCCGAGGAGGAGGCTCCGTGCGGGGCCTGGGCCGGGGTGGTGGCCGAGGAGGAGGCTCCACGCGCGGGCTGGAGGCCTGAGTTCGGTTCCTGCTTCCGGGACGGACGCCTGGTCGTGGAGGCCGAGGCACTGTGCGCATGACGCGGGTGGGCGGTCGCAGGCCCACCGGCTCCTGGGCAGCCCGAGTGGGGCCGATGGCGCAGTGCGCTCGAGTGTGCTCCGGCTCGCGCAGCGTGGAGGGTCCACTGGCCGTGCGTCGCCGTGGCTGGAGGGACAGGCTGGGAGCTGCTGGCAGTGCCCTCCAGAAATCCCATTGAGGATTCTCTTCCGTCTCCACGGCAGCTGCTTGTCGGGCATAGGGGTGGGGCTCCTCCGCGGTCACCTCTGCCCTGTGCGTGGCCCACAGAGCCCGATGCACCTGCAGGCAGCAGGAGGGTGAGCCACGGTTCCGGGCTGCTGGGTCCGCCCAGGAGGGGTTCCTTTCCAGCCCCTGGCCAGCCTCAAGTGCGTTGATTGACAGGAGCAGCACCCCTTTGCCTGTAAACCCGAGCTCTCCACATGCCTGGGAAGGTGGTAGTGGGTGGGCTTTCACACAGCCCTGAGGTCAGTAGTCCCCGCCCCCTCTCCAAGAGACTGCCTGCCGTGGTTTTGTGATTTGGCCGCAGGAGTGTGGAGGTGGGAGTGTTTCGGTCTTCTGGTGTGGTACTGTTGGGGTGTGAGGCTCAAGTCCGGTCAGCTTTCAGACCTCGGGATAGGTGGGAATAGGCCAGCTGCACCCCTAGCCACCCCGACTCCCTTCCCCTCCTGCACCAGCTAGGTCACCTCCCTGGGAATGGAAACACTGCAGACCCGTGAGTGCTGCCGTGTCTTGGGGACCCTGCAGATGTGCTGGCCTGCTGGGGGAGGCAGGGCCAGCACCCACAGGGCCCCGGGACTGACCACCAAGCCCTGGGGGGTGGGTGCACAGTCTGTCTGAATTGGAGCTGATTGAAACGTTCATTGGCTTATTTTTTGACTTGGCCAGGGGCTCCTCCAGGTGCCCACCTGTGGGACTTGGGCATCGCAGCGCTGACTTAGCCCCAGGCTGGAGCTGGCATGTCCCCTGGCTTGTTGTATTCTAGAAAGAAGGGAGATCTTCCACCAGCTGGCTAACTCCGGGGAGGCCCACAGCCCTGGGAGCTGGGATTCGGTCCTGGCCGCCTGTGGTGCAGCAGGGTAACCCTCTGCTACCTTCCCAGGTGCGTCAGCTGGCACATGGGTCCACTGGCTGATGCTGCATGTCCCAGAGCCAGGATTCCTCTTGGGCACTGGCTCACGTCCCGGCAGCTCCACTTCCCATCGCGCTCCCTGCTTGTGACCTGGGAAAGCAGTGGAGGACGGCCCAAAGCCTTGGGACCCTGCACCTGCATGGGAGAAGTTCCTGGCTCCTGGCTTCAGATCGGCTCAGCTCCAGTTGTTGTGGGCACTTGGGGAGTGAATCTGTGGACAGAAGATCTTTCTCTGTCTCTCCTCTCTGTATACTGACCCTTCCAATAAAATAATTAGCTACATAAACCTTTAAAAAAGAAAGAAAGATGCTGAATGAAGCCAGGTAGCTGTGGGGCTAGTGCCATGGCATAGCAGGCTGAACCTCCGCCTATAGTGCCAGCATCCTATGTGGGCCCCGGTTCAAGTCCCAGCTGTCCCATTTCTGATCCAGCTCCCTGCTTGTGGCCTAGGGAGGCCTGGGGACCCTGCACCCGTGTGGGAGTCCTGGAAGGTGCTCCTGGCTCCCTGCTTTAGATGGGTGCAGCTCTGGCCATTGTGGCCACTGGGGGAGTGAACGAGCAAGAGAAAAATCTTTCTCTTTCCTCTGTAATTGCCTTTCCAACAAAAATAAATATTTAAAAAAAAAATAAAGCAGCCAAGTGTCTGTGTCTCAAAGCAGCACTTGTATGGGGACACCAGTGTCACAGGCCAACCCTCCTGTGGCAGGCGTGGGAGCCTTTTTTGTGCCAAGAGCCATTTGGCTATTTGGAGCATCGTTTGTGGGCTGGAATGACCAGCTTAGAAGTTAGCAGAGTCAGACCAAGGGCAGGATGGTCCCCACCCCCCAGACGAATCAGCTGGTGGGTGGATCACTCAGTGGTTAGGAGCGGGTTTGGGGGTGGAGAGGCGGTGACTGCGTGTTGGCCTCATCGGCTGCGGGATTTGTGGCAGTGACTGTGCAGTCCTCCCTCTGTGTGTGTGGGCAGAGTGGATCGCACCCCTGGTCGTCTTGTGGACTGTGACAGAGCAGGGGGGCGGAGAGCTCAGCCTGGAGTGCCAGCCCCAGCTCGCGCACTGCCTGGCTGTTTGGTGACATGGCCCGGGGGTTTGTTGCAGGTTGGCGTGCGAGGCAGGGACATTGTGGTCCTCGGCGTGGAGAAGAAGTCGGTGGCCAAACTGCAGGATGAGAGAACCGTGCGGAAGATCTGTGCGCTTGATGACAATGTTTGCATGGCCTTTGCAGGTGCGGTGCCAGGATGGGACATGCAGGGCCAGCTGGGGAAGCGCGGTGGGGTCTACCTCTGCTCTGGGCCCCCAGGGGTCTTGCTGGTGCATTGGCGCAGGGTCTGGCACCCAGTGCTACTGGCCTGTTGTCGGAGCCCTGGAGGCCAGTGAAGCGCTGTGAGGTCCTTGAATGGAAGCCTTCTGCTCATGGCAGGCCTCACTGCTGACGCACGCATCGTCATCAACCGGGCCCGAGTAGAGTGCCAGAGCCACCGGCTGACCGTGGAGGACCCAGTCACTGTGGAGTACATCACTCGCTACATCGCCAGCCTGAAGCAGGTGCGTGTGCGCCAGGCAGGCACGGAGCTGCGGCCACGTCCTGTCTGGGCGTGGACCTGCAGGGTGGGCACTGGTACCTGTGGGTTTCTTCCTGGGTCTGAGAGAGACGTTCAGTGTTCTCCCTACAGGCGGGAGGGGGTAGGAACTGCCCCACTCCGTGGGATCACGTGTGCCTGTGTCCTGTGCCCCACTCCATGGGATCACGTGTGCCTGTGTCTGCCCCACTCCGTGGGATCACGTGTGCCTGTGTCTGCCCCACTCCGTGGGGTCATGTGTGCCTGTGTCTGCCCCACTCCGTGGGATCACGTGTGCCTGTGTCTGCCCCACTCCGTGGGATCACGTGTGCCTGTGTCTGCCCCACTCTGTGGGATCACGTGTGCCTGTGTCTGCCCCACTCTGTGGGATCACGTGTGCCTGTGTCTGCCCCACTCTGTGGGATCACGTGTGCCTGTGTCTGCCCCACTCCATGGGATCACGTGTGCTTATCTCCAGGGTCTGGCGTAAATGGAGAAGGAGAGGGAGGGAGCTGGCCACTAGTGTGCCTCTTGGCCTTGCAGCCGAGTCCTCCCGCCCCGGAGCCCCCACGCTGCACGGCCATGGCCCTGACTGTGCTGTGTCTTGTTGCCAGCGCTACACCCAGAGCAATGGCCGCAGGCCATTTGGCATCTCTGCCCTTATCGTGGGATTTGACTTCGATGGCACCCCCAGACTCTATCAGACGGACCCCTCGGGCACATACCACGCCTGGAAGGTGAGCGGGGCAGGGCCAGGGCTTCCGCGCGTGGGAGTGGAGCCCCCTGCCCATGTGCCCAGGATTCCTTCAGCATGGCTCTGGAGATGAAGGACAGGATGAGGTGGGGACTAAGGTAGGATCCTGTCCTAGCCTGGGACTCCACTGAGGGGAGCCATGCCCAGGCCAGCACCCAGCAGGGGCAGCTCGCCGGACCCCAGGGCACCACCTCAGGGCACGCCTACACGTGTTGCAGGCCAATGCGATTGGCCGGGGTGCCAAGTCCGTGCGTGAGTTCCTGGAGAAGAATTACACTGATGAGGCCATTGACACAGACGACCTGACCATCAAGCTGGTGATCAGGGCCCTCCTGGAGGTAAGTGGCAGCAGAGCGCTGCGGCACGGAGACCTGCCAGGTGTGCCTGGCCGGGAGCTGTCGCTCAGGACTGGGATCCCTGGCAGTTATGCTGGGTGGCGGTGAACCTCTAAGGTCCCCAGCTTGACCAGATCCGACCCCGCGCAGGTGCCGTGAGGGAGCTCCCAAGTGGGGAGGCCCCACAGAGGCCTGGGTGCCCGTGCTGGGCATCGTGGGGTGGTTTGGTTTGTGGCAGGGGGTGGCAGAGGCATCTAACACTCCTGTCATCTCTTTAGGTGGTCCAGTCCGGTGGCAAGAACATCGAGCTTGCTGTCATGCGAAGGGATCAGCCACTCAAGGTAATGGCTACGTGAGCTCACCTGGGAGGATCCTGTGGTCAGGGCTGGCCTCAGCTGTCCAAACAAGACGGCAGTGTGCTGTGTGGCCCAGCCAAGCCCCCGCCCTGGTCCGTGACCACCCTGTGCTGGGCCAGGCCCCCACCCCAACCCACTGGCACCCTGTGCGGGCCACGCCCTGCCCGTCCTTGGGCACTCTGCTGCCACTCTGTAGTGGCCACTAGTGGAGGTCCCAGCAGTTGACTCCGTCCCCCAGGAGGGACCAGGTGCTCCCCTCCTGCCAACAAGCCCCTCTTCCTCCGGTAGATTTTAAATCCTGAAGAAATCGAAAAATATGTTGCTGAAATTGAAAAAGAGAAAGAAGAAAATGAAAAGAAGAAGCAGAAGAAAGCGTCGTGATGAAGCACCCTCCCTGTGGTGACCTGTTCCAATCATGAGTGAGGCTCGCGCGGCGTGCTGGCGGTGCCCACAATAAACCTGCATATTTTTTACACTTTTTTTTTTATTAATGGAATGTGTATTTTTAATCATGTTATTAGAGCTCTCATTTGCTGGCTGGCTCACTGGATTACAGCAGCTGGGGCTGGGCCAGGAGCTGTGCAGCCAAGTGTCCTGGGTATGTGGCAAGGGACCCAGGTGCCTGGCCACCCACTGCTGCCACCAGGGGTGCACAGGAAGGCCTGTGTGTCCATCTGTCTTAGCGACCCAGGCTGGGCTGGGGCATTCTGCAGCCTCTTGGGACCCCCATGCAGAACTGACAGCCTGTCAGCTAGGGCCCACGAGCAGTGCTTGAGGGCATGGCACAAAAGTGGTTTCATGCTGAAAACTTCTGCAGGCCCAGCATGGTAGCCTAGTGGCTAAATCTTTGCTTTGCATGCACCGGGGTCCCATGTGAGCCCTTGTCTTTGTCCTGGCTGCTCTGTTTCCCACCCGGCTCGCTGTTTGTGGCCTGGGAACGCAGTAAAGGGTGGCCCAGAGCTTTGGGACCCTGTACCTACAAGGGAAACCCAGAAGTTCTGGCTCCTGATCAACTTGGCTCGGCTGTTGCCGTTGCGTGGGCAGTGAACTAGCAGACGGAAGATCTCTGGAACTTTACCTTTCCAATCAAATACTTTTTTTTTTTTTTTTAAGATTTATTATCATCACAAAGTCAAGATAATACAGAAAGAAAGATCGTCTGATGATTCACTCCCCAAGTGGCTGCAACGGCCCATGCTGAGCCGATTTGAAGCCAATCCGAAGCCAGGAACTTCTTCCGGGTCTTCCACACGGGTGCAGGGTCCCAAGGCTTTGGGCCGTCCTCCACTGCTTTCCCAGGCCACAAGCAGGGAGCTGGACGGGAAGTGGGGCTACCAGGATTAGAACTGGTGCCCATATGGGATCATGGCATGTTCAAGGCAATGACTTTAGCTGCTAGGCCACCGCGCCAGGCCCTCCAGTAATAAAAATCTTAAAATAACTGCAGGTGTATGTTCCTGGCCACAGCAGCTCAAGCCCAGGGTTCCTAGTGCCTGCACTGCACTTCCACCCCCTCATTAACTGCCAGGGAATGGAGGGGCGGGCAAGTTTCCTAGTGTGGCCCTCCACTGAATCCTTGTGTGAGTGAGCACACCCCTTACCAAACAGCTCAACCCACGTGGGAGGCCCAGATGGAGCACCTGGCTTGGTTTGTCCAGGCCAGCCGCTGTGCCATTTTGGAAGTGGAGCAGTAGCTAAAAGACTGCCCTTTAAGTAAATAAATCCTTTTTCATATTAAAATTTGCATTTCGGAAGAGGAGAGATCTTCCAGTTACTAGCTGCAAGTGCAGGGCCCAAGCTCTGGGTCAGCTGCCTTTCTAGGCCGGAGGACGGGCCAGGAGTTGAACATGGGACACAAACCAGAAACCACATGGATGCCAGCACTGAAGGGCACTGACGGCTGTCAGGTGGGCGGCCAAGCTATGCAGCCTGTTCCTAGGCCAGTGGATACATGAAGGTGGACTTGGTCAGTCAGCTGACCTTGGGAAGATTTTTTTTTTAACCTGGAGCAGTGATACCAGTAAGTTCTCACAACTGTCAACCCTCAACACCCCGAGAACACTTCCCGCATGGCGATTTGAGTGTCCGCCATCCCCACCCCTGGTGCTGATGGAATCCGACAGCGAGGAACTGGTCCCACCCTTTCCTGGCTGGGACGCAGGAGAAAGTTAAGTAAGACATTGGCCCACCTTTCTCCATACAGCCCCCCCCCCCGACTGGGTAAGCTTCTGGGCTGGAGAAGTGGCCCAGGAGACTCGGGGCTGCTCTCCCAAGCACTGCACCAAGCTGGGTTCCATGCCCCCCAAATCCCACTGACCTGGGCACATTCCACCCCTGCCCAACACCTGCCTGGGAGGGCCCAGCAGGAGGCAGCAGCCAAGACCAACTGGAAGGTTTGCTTGTTTATTCAGAATCACAATTGACATCCTCCCACAGCAGCGGGTCCCTAAGCCCTACCAGCCACGGGCCCTGATGTCCTACAAAAATAAGCCCGGCTTGGACAGCGACCAGGCCAGTACAGAACTGCTCCCTTGGGGCTCCCTTGCAGCCCAAGGCCCGGCCACAGCCACATGCTCACACTACGGGCTGGGCCATTACTCATGCAGCAAGTTTATACTCCCGCCCTCCCTCCACCCGCCTTTTAAAACAAAAACACAACTATTTACAGTCAAGAAGAAAGGAAATACGCTCTGGTCAACTGACCATACAAAAAAAAAAAAAAGGACTGGCTTCTTTCCAAGTGGATAAGAGGACCGGAGTCCAGCAGAAAGCAGCACGGGCTGAGGGGCCACCAGGGCCAGGCTGCAGCGCCGCACGGGACTGCCAAGGCTCAGGCCTCCACCTCGACCCCGTGTCACACCAATGTTCGGGCTCGCCACGATGGAGCCCTGCCAGCCCGCAGCCTGGTCATCACCAGGACACAGGGAGGCCGGTTCCCTTCTCCAACATGATCTGTGGGACGCTGCCCTTCCCCACCTACAGCCACCCTCCCACAGGCCCACCCTGGGCTGGTCCTGCTTGGCTCCTGAGACAGCAGGGGGCATAGATGCCCGCGCCTGGCCGGCTCATGTGCCACATGAGATCTGGTTCCACTTTTAAAGTCAGAGTTACCATAAAAAAAGTTACAAAGTGAGGAGCATAATATCAAAACCTTAGAAGGAGAAGAATGCCAACTCAAAAGGAAATGCTGGCGGACGCCGCCCAGAGGTCACCAGGACATGTCCAGAACAGCAGCTCTGACTCAGACGTGTCCAAGGCTACTTCAACGCAAGCCTGAGCAGCGAGGGCCTGCCAGCTCAGTCAACAAGGCAACCCACTTCTCCCCCAAGTGCAGCAGCTGCTGTGGCATCCACCGTCCCACACATCAGGAACCTGTGGGAGAGACAGAGCCTGTGAGCAGCTGGCTGTGGGGGCCAGGGCCCCCAGCCCTCCTTTGCCAGGGGCTGTCCACAGTCCCATGGACCCCCTCATTGGGAAGCAGATGGCAACAGCATGGCAGCTGGTCATAGGGGGCCCTGCTCTTCCTGCCTAAGGGTGGTTAAGGGTGGGTCAGCACTAGGCACCCCACACGGGATGCTGTTCACTCCAGTGGCCACACTCACACAGGCCCATCACGGCCCTCACTCGTCTTGGCATCACTTGGCAATGCCAGGGCCCGGGTCCCCCCCAATGGCTCAGGTTTAGTTGGCCTGGGTTGGGGTTCAGGTCCTGCTGCTACTGGGAGACTGTCCCGCCCCACGATTCCAAGAGTCACGGCCCTGGGTTGTTCATGATACCTACAGGCCACAGAGCTGCCCGCTCCCCAGCCCCTAAGCTCCACCCAGGAGTGCCCGTCCCCGCACTCTCACCTGGGGACCCCTGAAGTGCCCACTCACCCCAGGCTGCACCTTCACACCCGGCCAGTGCCAGCCCTGTGTGAAGTTGGGTTGCGACGGGGGGTCCCGTTGCCCCTGCCTCCTCGGAACCCACCGCGGGAGCTGCGGCCTCGAAGAAACCTCCCCGACACCCCGAAGGTCTCCGTGTTGAGCTTCCGCTCCTCAGCCCACGTCGTCCGCCTGGAACTGAAGGGCAGCAGTGGTGGGCAGAGGCCGCGGGGGCTCAGCAGGCTTTGGCGGGGCCCGATCCTCACAGCAGCCACCATCACTGCCGTGACCCACGATGCCCCCGGATCCCGCCCCCCCTACTCAAAGCCTGCCACACATGGGCCACCTGGACCCCCGGCCTGTGTCTGCCCACAGCCCATCAGTTTAACCCAGGTAAAACAAGGGTGGGGAGGGGGCGTGTCCCCCAGCACCTGATCACAGAATGCACGCGTCTCAGTCCCTGCCCGGTGCCCTTGTGGCAGACGCACTTCCTATGACAGGAGTTGAGCGGTGCTGCAGGCCGACACCCCACACAGCCCGGGAAGGAACGTTTGTCAGTGTTCCAGCTCACAGGCCCAGCACAGGCTTGAGCATGGGGATGGCTGGCGACCAAAAAGCAACTCAGCCACCTCCTGCCTGCTGTGGGCACAGCGGAGACGCGATCCCTGGCACACAGGGAGCATCAAGCCTGAACCCAGCCTGGTCCTGCAGCCCCGCACGCACGCAGTGCCCCGGTCCCGCCTGCCCTCACCTGCTCTTGAGCTCAGAGGAGATATTGTCGAAGAAGGACTTGGATTTGTCATAGTAGCAGTTGGGGCCCAGGAGGTCTTCCTCAGCAGGAGGCTCCTCTCTCTGGGTCACCACAGCCGGGTCCTTGTCATCCCCCTTCTCCGCGTTGTCGTCTACCAAGGTGAGTGGAGCCATGAGCTGTGCTCCGCAGGCATGGCTGGCCTCCAGGGCCGCTCCTGGCAGCAGCCTGGATGCCCCATCCCTCCGCAGGCATGGCTGGCCTCCAGGGCCGCTCCTGGCAGCAGCCTGGATGCCCCATCCCTCCGCCCGTGGCCCGACACTCCAGTCCCTTCCAGTCCTCAAGCCCTTAGCCCACGCGGCTGGCAGCCGGCTCCCCAGGGAGGTCTGGGGCGCACCTCTCCCTGAAGCCAGACCTTTGAAACTCAGCCTCTTCTTGAACTCTTTGTCAAGCTCCTCCCTGTTGAACTGGGCATTGGCACTCTCGAAATCAAAGTCGCCCTCAAACTTGATGGTATTCTCCTTGGCCGTGGCCGGGCGGCTTTGCCCTCGGGAGCGATTCCTTGCCCTCCGGTTCCCTGTGGGACCAAGGAGGAAGTTGGCAGCCCAAGTTCGGAATGCAACAGGGGCTGCCCAGGAGGCATCGCAGGCTCTGGACTCCCAGTGGTGGCTGGCACCGAGGGCCTGGGGTTACCTGAGCGCCTCCGCTGAGGCCGTCTGTTCTCGTCATTCACCTGCCCCTGGGCTTGTACCACTGCTGGCTGGATGACCTCTAGACACCAAAGGGAAAAACAAAGTTAGGGCCTCACGGCCATGGGCAGCAGATAGTAGGCGGGGGCCTGGCGAGGAGTCCTAACTCAAAAGCAGGGACCCCAGGAGCTCCTGCTCAGGGGATGGGGCTTGGGTACCGTTCACAGTCTTGCTGCTTGGCTGGACCTGGCGACTGCCCAGCTGAGTCCCCGAGGGGCCCTTGCCAGGTGCCAGCTTCTTCGCGCTCAGGTTATCTGCAGAACCCGTCTGGACAGCCTGTTCCACCATCGGGCTCTTGCCGGCTGGGACAGAGGGAATACCAGCTCCTGCGGGGAGGGAGGGAGGAGGGCTCAGTGGCAGCGGGCAGGAGGCCTGGCATCTGCCTGCCGACCAGGTGGGCAGCACCAGGGCGCTCTGCGGTTGGCAAAGCTGCTGCAGCTGAGCTTGTCTCCTGGAAGCCCCAGCCCTGCACTCCAAGCTAGAGAATGGCAGGGGGCACACCCCTGGCCCCAGCAGGTACCTCCAATATTTCCAGAACAAATCCTTTTTACAACTATGCAAGCTCTCAGCCAAGAGGGGCCCATCCTGAGGGAAAACCTTAAGAAAGCAATTCATTCTGGTCTGGCTAGAGTGTGTTTGTCACACTTTGAGGCCAAAAGCCACAGTGCTGGCTTCCATTCAGGGCCGAAGACGACGCAGAAGGAGCGATTTCAGAGACAGCCCTGACTCCTCACACAAGCAGATGTGGCTAAGTCCTACCGAGCTCCCAGGTGCCTCTGTGGCCCCGCCAGCCACCTCCCTCTCGCCTCCCTGGCTCAGCCTGCCGGAACGGGCACCAGGCAGCTTGGCCGAGCAGAGGTGGCATGGGCGCACCAACCTCGGTCAACTCCGAGGAGCACTCGACACAGCTGAGCACGGGCCTCAACTCGCGCAGAGCAGGTTGCGGTGAGGACGACTTGCGGGCAAGCTGCCCCCACAGATGTGCACCACTCTGCACCAAGCCCTGAGCAGCACCTCACCAGGCGCCCAGGCCCTGTTTGCTTCTCATTCAACAGCCCAGGCATGGCGACAGCCAGTGCTGCTGGGCTTTGTCCCCTCTGTGCCGGAGTGCTGGGTCCCGGTCTGCTCCAGGCCCACTCCCAGCTTCCTGCTGCCAGGCACAGCTCTGGAGCACCTAGCTCCTGCCACTCACAGGGGCGGCCCAGCTGGAGGACCCAGGGTTAGCCTCCAGAGAGAGCCAGCGGGTGGCTAAAAGAGGCGCACCTTGGTCCAGCAGCCTTGCTGTAAAGTTTGGTGCTGAAGGGTGTGGGAGGCACGGTGCTACACTAAGCAGGCTCATTGTCACGTTCAGGGTCCTGACCACAGGGACGCCCCGGCCCATCCGGTGCCTGGGTGCAGTCTCAGGCCATCTGCTACCCACACAGCAAGCACTCAAGTCCCTGTGACCCACGTGGGAGACGCAGAGGGTGTCCTGCCTGCTGCAGGCATTTGGGAAGGAAACTCACAAATGGAGCTCTCACGTGCGTGTGCTCTGTCAACATTCACACACCCCACACAGACCAGCTACAATGAGCCCTCCGGGAAGTCTTCCCACCGGTCTAACTCAAACACCCACTGGATCCCGCGAGCAGCATGCACAAGCTATGCCAGAAAGCAAGCGCGCATTGGAGCCACAGCCCAGGCCGCGCTAGGGCTGGATGGCACAGCAGACAAAGTACAGGGCGCTGAGCCACACGCACCACAGGCTCGGGGACAGAGACCGGCAGGAGCATAGCTACAGCCTGCAGGTGTCACTCGGACAGCAGACACAGCGGTATGCCCTGGCAGCAGTACACAAGCAACCGATCGACACCAGGCACCCGCCAGGCCCTCAGCCCGAGCCCTGCCCTGAGTCCCACTGAGTGGCCCAGAGTGCACGGGCAGCGGCGGCTCAGATCACAACAGCCCCTGCAGCCCCCGAGCACATGGGAGCAGCGCCCCAGCAGCCGTCTCCTGGCTCACGGTTTACCCCTCGCGCTCAGCATGCCAGACAGCAGGCAGCTCTCCACACTGTTACCCTTGGAAGTGAGCTGAGGTGGCTCTGAGGACATGTCAAGCTCTGAGACAGGCTGTGGAGATGGAGAAGAGCTAGGGCTGGAAGCAGCGGCTGAGGCTGGAGGGCTTACCAGCTTCTCTGAGGGGAGAGAGAGAAGAGAAGAGCAGAGACAAAGCGCACACATGAGTCGTGATGTCGCCAGCGTGCAGGCGCCAGGGCAGCCCGCTCACACCAACCGAGCCGGAGACGGCGAGGCAAAGGACGGACCAGTGCCACGCCTCAGGGCCTAATTGCAGCCTCGGGCAGGAAGCTGGGCAGGCCTGGCCGGAGCACCTGGCACCTGCGGGTTCTGAACACAACACTCCGTCCAGCTTAGGACAAAGCCCGAGCTGCAGCTCCCCTCCCGGCGTGAGTGGTCCCCCAGCAGGGCTGAGACGCACCGAGGGAAGGGCCAAGGCCGTGACCGGGGCGCCGCCTGCAACCCGCCTCCACACACAGCCGCGTGCAGCCAGCTGGGCCTCATCCGCCACGCGCACGTGTGTGCAGTGAAGGTAACCGGGGTCCCACCACAGCCCAGGCTCACAGCCCAGGGCGTGCACTCCACATGCGAGCCTGCTGCCCCCTAGCCACGCCACACGGCTACCGAGTAAGGGCCCTGAGCTGCAGGGCCAGGGCCTCAGTGGGGGAAGCCCACAGTCCACCAGCTAACGTGACCCGAGGACACGACCCACCCAGTCTCCGGTGGTCACAAGAGGGGCGGCTACTCACCGAGACCTAAGGAGGCAGCGTACTGCTGGCTGAGCAGGGAGCTGGCGGCCAGCTGGCCGTAGGGCGGCATCCCGCGGAAGGGGCTGTAAGGCACGTGCGACTGGAAGGGCGAGGCGGAGGCAGAGCCCAGAGAGGACTGAATGGGGGAAGACACGGTGACACGATGACAGCAGGCCGGGACCCTCACCTGCCCTGGCCTCTGCCCACCTGGGTGCTCAGGATGCTGGGGTGCTCCTCACACGGAGCTTCCTGCAGGCCCCCAGACGTCTCTCCAACACCCTTCCCAACTGCCCCAACTCAGCTCACGCCCTCCACGGCAGTGGGCGTCTGGCCACGCCACAACCAAGTGCCTGGGTTCCGGTCCTGCTCCCAGTCCCAGCTTCCCATTAAAACTGATGGGGTGACTGGGGGAGCCAGGATAGCCGGGGCAGTTCCTGCCACACATGGAGGCCTGGCCAACCTGGGCACGTGACAGACCTGCTGGTCAGGCTGAGCCCAGCCTCCGTCACAGGGCAGAGGCACAGCCAGGGGCTACAGCCATGGAACTGCTGGACCCCTTCCTCAAGGCCCAACCCCTCTCTGGTCCCCACATGTTGGGGATACAGCTGTGTGTCTGCAGACCAACCTCTAACGGTTTCTATTCTCATCTACCTGAGAGGTACAGCGGGACCTTCTACCCACAAACCCCACCCCGCCTGGGTCCCTGAGCCCGCTGGCCCAGGGCTAGGAGAAGCGCAGGCAGCACTGGGATCCAGCACGTGTGTCCCAGGAGCCCGCAGCCCACGGCCGAGCTGGCTCAGGTGCGCTCCCCATCAGAGCTCATCAGAGTCCGACCAGGCTTCTGACCGCCCAGGGCCCAAAGCAGGCCAGGAATGCCAACACCTGCAGCTCCCTGCAAACCACCACAGGGCACGGGCGGCAGACAGCCGGCGCTGGCCAACCGAGTGTCTCAGCAGGGCAAGCACTGCCCGAGGCACCTCGGGCCCCAGCAGCCCCGGCACCCCACAGCCCGCTCCTCTCCCTTCGGGGCACGCACTTGCACGATGGCAGGATCCTGAGGGAGTGTGTGCTGGGCCTTCGGAGGTTCACACACGGTGATGTCCTTGATGTCGCTTCCCCGGAAGATGATGTATTCATAAACCTCCTCTCTCGGGGGCGCAGGCCGGTCCGTGGGCCGATCTTCAGTCCCAAAGGACCTCACTTAGGCCAGAGAAACCGGGGGTCACCGACGCTGTCCGCAGCTGGCACCCCAGGGGTCAGTGCCCCTCACCCTCCACCCGCAGGGGCCTCTGCTCGCGGTGGCACGGCGGAGGGGGCCGGTCCCAACAGCAGATTCTGTCCCCCCCGAAAGACGACCCTCCGCACAACTCCACAGACCCGCCGGGGAGACCGACCCCCCGCCGGCGGGGCGGGCCCGGCTCTCGGCCCGCGCGCACCCCGGCTCCGCGGGAGGACAAAGGAGCCCGGGGCCGCTGGCGGCGCCCACCGACACCTCCCCGGGGCGTCCCGGAGCCGGCCGCGGGCGTCGCGCCCCGCGCCCCACCCCGCCGGCCAGCACCTGCCGAGGGCCGCGCGCGGCCACGCGGGGCCGGGGCCTGCCCCTGCACGGAGCCCGGGCCGGGCTCGGCGCGCAGCCATGGTGCCCGGGCGGGGCGGTTGGGCGCGCGCGCCGCTACCTTTGGCGAGCGCCACGGTCGAGTTGTCGGTGTCGATGGTGTAGAGGATGCCCTCGTAGCGGATCTGCGCCTTGGAGATGAGGCTGATCTTGCTGCCCAGGTACGGGGTGCCCGAGGAGCCGCTCATGGCGGCCGCCCGCTCCGCTGCCGCGCGGCCTCCGGGCCGCCCGAGGGGCCTGCGGGGCGCCGAGCGAGCGAGGCCGGCCGCGCCGCCGGGCTGCGAGGGGGACGCGGGGGAGGAGCGGCCGCCGCAGCCACATCCGGGGCCCCGCGCCGCCCCCGCACGCGCGCCGCCCATTGGCCTGCCGCGCCCGCCGCCCTTTAAACATGGCCGCGCCGCCGGCCGCGCCTGCGCAGCTCGGCCCGCAGGCTCGGGGCGGCAGTCGGCGGCTCCCGACGGGCCCCGCGCGGCGTGGGCGGCGAGGGCGGAGACGCCGGGTCCCCGAGTGTGTGGAGACGCCGGGCCCCCGAGTGTGTGGAGACGCCGGGGCCCCCGAGTGTGTGGAGACGCCGGGTCCCCGAGTGTGTGGAGTGGAGACGCCGCGATCCCTGCGTGAGGAATGGAGACCCCGGGTCCCTGCGTGCGGACACCCCGGGTCCCTGCGTGCGGACACCCCGGGTCCCTGCGTGCGGACACCCCGGGTCCCTGCGTGCGGACACCCCGGGGCTTCGCTCCGGGGCTGGGCGGCATCCCCAGGGGGCGAGCGAGGCTGAGCGAGCGATCACTGCCCACATGTCCACGCGCTGCGCGGGGCGTCCGCTGCGTGTCCTGCGGGGAGGGCGGCTGTCTGCGCGGGGCTGTGGCAGTGGAATAGGAGACAAGTACCATTTGTGACTCCTGCGCCTCACCTCTCTGTGCTCCGTGAACTTGGTCAGAACCTAAACTGAATGTGCTTGTAAAAGATTTACTTGAAAAGCAGGGTTGGGAGGAGAGGCCGTGGTGTTCCACCCGGGGCTTCACTGCCCACATGGCCGGACTGGCTAGAGCTGGGCCATTTCTCTGGGTCTCCCGGGTGGGTGCAGGGTCCGGCCCTGGCTGTGCTCCTGTGCTGTCCCAGGCCATTAGCGGAGAGCAGGGACTCAGGCACCTCTGTGGGAGATCTTACCTGCGTGGGTGCTGAAATGGGTTGCCCGCGGCTGAGAACAGCCCGAGGCCCCCACCTGCTGCTCCCTCAGGCCGAGACATCAGCTGGGCGGAGGCCCCCACGGCATGGAAAGGCTTGGAGGTGGTCTACAGCATCTGCCCACAGCCTCACCCCTTGACACTGCCTAGGGAGCCCTGCCCGGGAAGATGGGCCTACTGGCTGGGGCATCAAAAACCATGGTCCTGAGCAGGTGTCCCCAATCCTGGTGAGCTCAGCAGCTGAGTTCCTCCTGCCATCCCCTTCCTGGGTTATCAGACCCCCAGGTTTTGGAGCCATGTGCTCCTGTGTGCTTCCCTCAACGCAGTTGGATCCTGGGCCCCAGGTGCCCAGCAGGTGCACCAGGCCTGCCTTACGTGGAGGACACTGGGGGTGCCATCTCTGTCCTAGACCGGACAGGGTATCCTGTCCTCCAGGCTGGGACATCCTTCCTGTGGCTCCCTGGAAGATGGGCAGCTCTTCCGGTGGCCACCGACTGCCCTCCCCAGGCTGAGGGGCGCTCTGCTGAGGAATCCTGGCAGGTGGACCGCCCGCCTGCTTTCCTGTTACCTGGCTGCTGATGCTGCGGAGTGTGAGAGAGAGCACGCTGGACCCAAGTGTAGGATGTTAGGGGCCTTTACAGCTCAAGCTTGATGACAGCAGCTCCCTCTACACCAGGAGCCACTGCTCCGCGTGGCACAAGTCAGGGGGTTTAAGCTATCTCTCTCCAATTAGTTTGAAAGGTACAATGTTTTATCATACAATGCAAAACTTCTGATTAACTTCAGTAAGTGGAGGCAGGTAGGCAGGGGCCAGAGACGACCAGGGCTTCCCGCTGAAGGTGGAATCAACATTTCCTTAGTGTTAGCTACCACCTGTCCAGGAACTCTTTTGAAAGTACACAATTAGAAATATGAAGAATATTAACATCTTCACTGACATGCCCAAGCAGTGAACAGAGGGTGGGGGGTGCAGCCACATTCTATCTGCCCACTGTTAAGGTGCCGGCTAGCGCTGGCTGCACCCCAAGCCAAGGTGATGAGGCCTCCAGGCCTCCGAAGGGCTCCGCAGGTGGGAGACCACCTGTGCAGAGGGCCAGGGGCAGCTGGCCCGTCTCCACCACACCTGTGTGAGGACAGGGCTCCCGACATCGGCGGGGTGGTGGGACCGCTGCTCCTGCTGCATTCCACTCCTCGTGGGGGGCCGGCCGGAGAGCTGTGTGTGCCTCTGCTATCCTCCAGGTAAGGAATGGCCGGCACTCCCCGCCCTCCGAAGCCCTGCTGGGTAACCGGCAAGCACAGGCAGCTGACTCAGGTGAGCAGGTGGTCCTGAGGCTGGAAGCCAGTGCGCTGTCTACAGGGTGGGCACATGGGAGCTGGGCCTCGTTCCTGAGCTCTCATGGGACCAGGCGGACAGGGTCTGCCACGCACGAGGCTGAGGGGGCTGGGGACCCACATGGCCAGCACAGAAGGAGGAATAGGTGTCAGAATCCTCATGAAATACCCGCATGGCACTCTGCACACCTGCTCCGCAGAAGCATCCCCTTTCTGTCCCGCACCCTTTCTAGCCATTCTTGCCCCTTTTCCCCACCCCACCCCCAAGGGGAATCACAGAGGAGCCCCAGCTGCTCAGATGAGGGCTGACCCAGGGTCCCCCAGCCAGTGTCTAGCAGTCTGCCACTGCTGACCCGGGTGGGCCACTGCCGGAGGCCAGACGTGGCTGCCCGACGGAGGCTCCTGGGGCTGCAGCTTGGCGTGGAAAGTCGCCACTTGCCACAGGCAGTTACCTCCTGACTCCGACTCCCCCTGAAGGATGCAAGCTGTGTCCTGGGGGCTGCCATGGTAACCAGAGGCCAGGCTGGGTGTGTCCCTGCACCTGATAGGACAAGGATGGTGGAGAGAACAAGGGTCCTCCAGAATGAGGCCATGTGAGCAGGTGGCCCGGCCTCCTAGAAGCCTGGCCTTGCCAGCAGCGCCCCACAGGCCAGCACGGGGTTTCTTTTCTGCATACTGAGGTCATCTAGCTTTGAGCAAAGGTGTCCTGAGTACCAAGGCAGCCAGCTCACGCAGGTGCGGCTTGCTGACAGCGATCCTTCCCTTGGGTTGCCCTAGGCTGTGTCAGGGTCAGGTGGTGGACCCAGGAGGCAGGTCCTGGTCCTGAGGGCTGTGATGGGGGCAGATGGGGCTGTGAGAGAGCAGCAGAGAAGGGCACTCCTCAGGTGTGCCACTTTCCCAGCAGGTGCCCAGGGCTGGGTCGGGGGCAGGGCCTGTGATAGCTTCCCAGTGGCTCAGTGGCAGAGCAGCTCAGTCTTGGATGAACAGGGCCACTTCTGTCCCCAACAATCCTCCTCCTCTGTCCCCTGCAAGGTTCAAGTGACAGTGACCATCACAGAGCTGGGCAACTTGTGTGTGACGTGATCTGTGTGGGCTGACCTGGGCCAGAGCTTGTCCCAGTCCACCTGCTGGCCTGCAGTGCAAGGGCTTCTGCCCAACTGTGCAGAGTACGCTCTCGGCAACGTTGTCATCACCCCACAGGGGAAGCCATGTGAGTGGGCACCACAGCCTGTCCCGCCCCACTCTGGGCATCCTTATCTCCTGGGATTTTCCTGTGAATGGGAGTGTGTCATCGGCGGCCTGTTTGTGCTGGCTGCTCGCACGTAGGTGTGTTTGCAAAGCACACAGCGCTGCTACGAACGGCTGTGTGTGGACCTGTGTTTTCCCCTAAGCTTGTCCCCAGCCACACAGCTGCTGAGTCCCACCGCAGTTCTGCCTAACTCTGGGAGGACCAGCCAGTGGCTGGACTGCGTGGGTGATGTTTGGGGACAGGCTCTCCCGCCTGCAGGGACAGGGTCATGCCTGGCTCGGAAGAATGCCTTGGAACCCATGGTCCTCTCCCCACCCACCCACCCGCGGACCACTGCCCCTCCCCTCTGAGCCCGGCTCGCGCCTCCCCAGGTCTTCAGTCCAGAGGTGTGGCAGAGTGCATCCCTGTTTCTGAGCGAATAAGCCGAGAGGTGATGTGGCAGATGACGTAACAATTAGATGAGGTGTCCCAGGCATTGTGCTCGGGGCTCCCCACGCCTGGCTTGCAAAGGGAGTACGGTCCATAGTGACCAATGCTGTGTGGACAGGAAATTGAGGGCAGCATAGGTGTGGCCATGCCCACCCAGGGAGCCACGGTCCATGTGAGAATGCTGTCGCATGTCCTCCCAGCCCTCCCAGCATGTGGCCGAACCTGCCGGTTGTCACAAAGGCATGAGGAAAGTGGGGGAGGCCAAGGTGGGCCAGGAGCTGCCAGCTGGGGTGCAGACCTAACAGGGACTGCCAGGCCAGCAGAGAGCTGAGGGCAGAGGGCCCAGCATGGCTGCCCAGCCCAGCCTGTCCACCCTCGGAGGTGCTCACCCAGCAAAACCTCTCTGGCTCTACAGGAGCAGGTGGTCGACTCACACATGTGTGTGCGTACACACAGGGCCATTTTCCCTGCAGGCCTCTCCCTGTGTCAAGGCAGCTTCCCATGGGGTCCCTGCTCTCCCCCCACGTTCTTGGGGCAGTCAGGATTCACCGGGGGCATGCCCCCGTGCTGTCCAGCCACATCCCTGCACGTCAGGGGAATGGGGCACCTTACCACAATGGCACTGAACCCCTCCGTGGTCATGGAACCTGGAGCCGGGTAGCTGCCTGTGTATACCGCAGGGACGGGGAGGACTGGGGGAGGGGACGTCTCGGGGTGCGTCCACAGGTCCCTTGCAGTGTTGGCGAAATAGTGTTGACCAAGCACTGTGGGTCTGTCTGGGGTCAGTCCACCATAGTGGGCTGGCTCCCAGTGGCTTGCGGGGTTCAGGAGCATCTAGGGTGTCCTCTGTGTTCCAGCTCCCAGTGGGGCCCTGGCTTTGGCCGGGCACCCTCACCTTGGCAGGGAGCTTGAGTGTCTCTGGCGTCGAATGTGCACTTGGACTTGCCCTCCTGTCTGCTGCCTGCCAGGCCTCTGTGCAGCTGCCGGCTCCCCCACGTGGTTTTCAATTGTTTAATTGCCCTCATCTTGTCATTATCCCCTCAGTGCAGCCTGGTTAACAGCCCTCCA